GATATTGCCAAGAGGCAATTAGACTTCATTCTGCAGACACAACAAAGTGCCATTCATTGTCTGATAGTTTGACTACATCGCTAGCTGTTGCTCTCAAGGAAACCACAGTAGCAGTGCCGAAACTTGTCAATGCAACAGAGACAATTGGTGTAGACCTAGTGGTAGCAAGGGCATTCGAACTTAGAAAGAAAAGGACAATGTAGCATGATCAGCTTACCATGCATCTCTGCAAGATGACTCCAACTTGGAGGAAAAGCAAGCAGTTCTCACGCAACTCTTGCCACTCTTCTATGAAAAGGCAGCAACATCCACCATAGTCAATCATGGCATAGATGTTCAGCGTCAAGCCACACAATTTCTCAACCCTCGCTAAATTCCTCTTATGGCCGTGGCTGCTCCGCTGTATGGCCGAGCAAAGTACATTCACTTGAATTTGCCTCAGACACATGGGGAGGACAAGTATGTCGTCATATTTGGTGGTCTCTACATTGAAATGGCCATGTGGAATACAGTTGTAGACTACATGGAGGAGTCAGGTTGGACCACTGCATTAACACAGGCAGGCATTGCCTCCTCAGCACAGCAGATTCATTTCATCGCAGCTCCCAGCTCACCAGAACAAAGTAAGCAACACCAAATTTGTGCTTTGGCCTTGGCCAAGCTCCAGTAGGATGCCTTCTCTTGCAAGGAGCAGCCCCACACAAATGAAGCCAAAGAGGGCTGGGTAGGTAAGACACGAGCAGCAAGAGCCCAACATTCCAGTTCTGACGTACAATTCTCAGCTTTGAGCTTCTGGGTCTCATCCTTATCAGAGCTTACCGTGAAGCAAACTTACAAATTTCGATTTTTAAAGCTTTTGTGACTGCAGGGATTCATCTTCTTGGTTCTTTCGGTGAAGTCACGTAGAAGGAAAATAATAAAATAATAAAAATAAAACATAATAAAATAATTCTCACGACGTTTCGGCCACAACGCAAGCAGCCGTCCTCAGGTGAAGAACAGGTCTGTCGGGAAGACAGACGCTGTCTTTCCGACAGACCTTCTACGTGACTTTACCGAAAGAGCCAAGAAGATGAAACTTCCAAATGTATGTGAAATAACTTTTACCCCCTTCATTTTAGTAATCTGCCTGGTTATAAGGGTGACCTGGGCATTCACTAATTAAAACTAAATAATGACTGAGCTGTGCTTAGTAAATAGTGGACGGGTAAGACAAGAGCTGCTCCAGCCAATGAGCTGCTAGTGTGAGATCCCTGAGGCGAGGGTGGCTCCCTCATGTCATCCACCCACACCCCATCACCTTCCACCCACGCCTACCTCACTTCCACCCACAACTACCTCACCTCCACCCACAACTACCTCACCTCCACCCACATCCCCCGCCTCCACCCACACCGACCTCACTTCCACCCACAACTACCTCACCTCCACCCACATCCCCCGCCTCCACCCACATCCCCCGCCTCCACCCACACCGACCTCACTTCCACCCACAACTACCTCCCCTTCACCCACATCCCCCGCCTCCACCCACACTGACCTCACTTCCACCCACAACTACCTCACCTCCACCCACATCCCCGCCTCCACCCACACCTATCTCACTTCCACCCACAACTACCTCACCTCCACCCACACCTACCTCACCTCCACCCACACTCCCTCACCTCCACCCACACTCTCTCACCTCCACCCACACCTACCTCACCTCCACCCACACCTCCCTCACCTCCACCCACACTCCCTCACCTCCACCCACACTCCCTCACCTCCACCCACACCTCCCTCACCTCCACCCACACTCCCTCACCTCCACCCACACCTCCCTCACCTCCACCTACACTCCCTCACCTCCACCCACACTCCCTCACCTCCACCCACACTCCCTCACCTCCACCCACACCTCCCTCACCTCCACCTACACTCCCTCACCTCCACCCACACCTACCTCACCTCCACCCACACCTCCCTCACCTCCACCCACACTCCCTCACCTCCACCCACACTCCCTCACCTCCACCCACACCTCCCTCACCTCCACCCACACTCCCTCACCTCCACCCACACCTCCCTCACCTCCACCTACACTCCCTCACCTCCACCCACACTCCCTCACCTCCACCCACACTCCCTCACCTCCACCCACACTCCCTCACCTCCACCCACACCTCCCTCACCTCCACCTACACTCCCTCACCTCCACCCACACTCCCTCACCTCCACCCACACTCCCTCACCTCCACCCACACCTACCTCACCTCCACCCACACTCCATCACCTCCACCCACACTCCATCACCTCCACCCACACCTACCTCACCTCCACCCACACTCCATCACCTCCACCCACACTCCATCACCTCCACCCACACCTACCTCACCTCCACCCACACTCCATCACCTCCACCCACACTCCATCACCTCCACCCACACTCCATCACCTCCACCCACACCTACCTCACCTCCACCCACACCTCCCTCACCTCCACCCACACTCCATCACCTCCACCCACACTCCCTCACCTAGCATGGTATAAACATTGTTACATCCACTGCTTGATGAAGGGCATCTCCCCAAGCCCTCTCACGGCGTCGGTCATGTGGGTTGTTTTAATCAGTTGATATATCGGTCGCCACTGATGTTAGCCGTGGCCAATGTCACTGGGCTCATAGCGCAGAGCACCAACCACTGCGCGAAAACCACTTTGCAATAGGGTTCTTGTTGACGGCAAGTAATACTTTCCAGACCTTTGTCAACCCACTGCTGGATCATGGCCACACCCCACGCCGTGTCACGGGCGTTGTTGGATTGGAGGTGAAACCTTCACATCCCGGTGTATAAAATTTATAATAATTTACATTTACGAGGCACACTTAACCGATGGATTTCAAAGTAATTCGCCAAATGTGAAGCTAATACTTTTGAACAGTAGTGGATTATTTGTCTTTATTTTAAGTTGAGACTCCGCTGTCCGATTGGCGATGATCAATCAAGGGGACCCGGGGAGTTGTTGGTTCCACTGACATTTTCAACTTTTTGGTGGCAAATAAAATACCGTACTGCCACCTTCTGGCGGTGGTGGAATAAACCACGACACGACTGCTTCCACGATACGGCAAGTGTATCCGTTATATAACCACATCAGCCATGATCCGTCGATCTGTCGTCCGCTGCTGGATGAACGCCTCCAATCATATCTCCGCCTTTCTTCAGAGCAACACTCCGCTGCGTGCTAGCAATGATCCGTCGCTCCATCTCCGCGGGATGGAGGGCCCTCTTCTTTTGGCACCCCACTCAAAGGAGGGACTCCTCGCACGCCATCCGCAATTCCTTCGAAGCGACGTGTCAAGCTCAAAGCCCAAAGTCACTTCTCTTAGCAATCAAAGTTATTCTAACGCGTAGGATCTCGCCGCCAGTAATACGATTCGTAATTGATGTTTGGGTGTAGGCCACGTCATCATCGTCGTCGGACCAATGTTGTGTCGTAAACACCCTCCACCACCCCACGCAGCCAAATTAATGAAAGTGTCACGCGTACAAGCGTTTAACGAGCCAAATGTAAAATTGTTTCAGCCAATTCTCATCAGCCGGAACGCGCCCGATCCGGTCAGATATCGGAAACGGAGCTGGGCTGAGCCTCGATATATGGCGGCTCTACACACCTGCATCGGGGCCGTCCATAAATGACGTCACGCGATTTTGGACGATTTTTGACCCCCCCCCCCCTTCGTCACACGGCGTCACAAAAAATCAGACCCCCCCCTCAAATATGACGTCACAAAGCTCTGCCCCCCCCCCCCCCAAATAAAACATGCTTCAAATCGCTTTAAACTATTGTCATTGTAGTGCGTATTTAATGTGCTGCTGCACTCTGATGTTGTGGGAGAAAACATTTATTAAAAAGTCTTAATTAAGTAGAATGTGTTGTCTATATTTATTTAAAGTTGCGCATTTTGATGTGACGTCACATTTCTCAAACCCCCTCCCCCTCGTCACACATCGTCACAAATGTCTGACCCCCAATCCTAGGTGCGTGACGTCATTTATGGACGACCCCATAGCAGGCGTCATAGGCTAGAGGGCTGTGTTGTGGACAGGCCAGCAAACGCCGTTGTCTGGCTGTACATTGATGCTCACACATCTATGGTGCCCAGCACTGACCAGCGTGGTGAGGTATGGTCAAATCACCGCCTCCCTCCATGACCCGCAATGCCATAGAGAGGTCTTCATCCAGCAGCTCGTAGACACAGAGCTGTACGAATTGTTTCGTGGTATGTAAATTAAGTTATATGTTATTGCACAAAATTATCTGCTAATTAAAATGAGTATTCGTTCATTGTGAGAACATCATGGCTTCCCTGGCTGCCACAGATAATAAAATGAAGAGATTGCATGCAGGATAAGAGGATTACGGATAAGGCGCACCACTCGAGTTGCATCCTCCTCTTAATCTTGGTTACAGACCGTGGCAAGTTAACCGTGTTGAGGACATTGGATGTGTGCTGCATGTCATCTCGATTGCTCAAATGGGCCTACGAATGAGTTTGTATATATATACAATTGGATTACAGAAACAACACGGAGAATGAACATGTTGGGTTACAAGGTCCTTGTTACGCAGCCTTAGTCTGCGCCATTTAAGATTGCCACACACTTTTGGAGTGAAAGGCTGTTTAAGCGCCAATAAGTTTCGAGCATAATTGTGGCAGCGATATATATAACACATTCCTGCGGAGGGAGCTGGTAGGAACGTTGGGTTGCTCGGTCAATGGCCAGGGTCAACGGCGTCGTGGTGTATTCCGCAAATATGCCCGACTGTGAGGGCGGGTACAAGCCGGCGTGAGTAGGTTAAACGTTGAGTTTTATAAGGGCACCACGGGATGACCAGCCCCTCCCCACCCAGCCCCAAACTTAACAGTTAAGTCAATTCGCTGTCAACATGTACAACATACACACGTGGGCAATTAAACAATATTTAGAAAATCTGAAAAAAGGCTTCGTTGGTGTCAAATGATGAGTTTATTTTGCGTTGTGTTTTTTGTGCGCGATCTTATTTTGTATTTGTATTGTCACAACATAATATAAGTAGTGACGTATATGTGGATAAGAGAAGCAGGTGCATTAAAACAAAGCACATCAGCTGATGCACACACAGCACTTTGGAAACCGACTTGTTATTCAACACCCTTTGAAAGTGCACACACACAACAGAGCGCAAATGAATGATGCACCTTGAATTTATAGAGGCCCAATAACCTTTCATATTTAATTGTATTTTTAACCACTGCAACAAATACACTTTATGGCCATACGAATATCCACAGCAAAACACACAATGCTGAGCATGCAGAATTTTAGAAGACTACAGATGTAGGTAAAACTAGTCATGTAACCTGTCCTTCATAATTAGCTGTTTTACTCTGATAATTATATAATGCCATACATTTCAATACTAATAAATAAGTGATCCTTCTATAACTGGATACGACAGGATATTTTTTTTATTTTTACCCGTCTTGTCTGATTTTAAGACAAAGTTACTTTGAAATCACTTTCTCATTACATTGAATGACAAGTTTAAGTTGAATAATGATGTTAAAATATTGTCACAATCATCCTAGATCATACAACGTACCAATTGTAGTCTTATAAAAGAGAGTAATGTTATTCATCTTTCTATGTGCACCTAAAATGCTAAATTAACCATTATACCATGGTCATGTGATTACAATTACGGGATAATTTGGATCTATGAAGCTACGACCCAGTAAACATCCAAAGTTGGGCATCAACGTTGGCATGTGGCTCGAACCGTTGGATCAACAGTGGTCCAATATTTTTCCAACATTCCATGTTTACTGGTAAATATGACGTGGTCTCTATATTGTACGTTTTATTTTGGTATTACGCATGTTTTCCCAGGAAAGCCTCACTGAGTCTCGACTTGTCAGGAGGGTCTTGCAACGTTTTTGCACTAGGAGGCGACAATTGCTATGCATTTCCCTGTGAAGTAATTTTGCGAGTAATTTGAAACATGTTTAAAAGATGGCCCACGACGCCAGCAAACAATGAACCAATTCTTGTTCGATTGACGTCACGGGAACTTTAACATCCACTGTAACTCAGACGGAACATATTTCACCCGCGGTAACTGCAAAGATCTGCAACAATCAACGAACGCGTCACTGCTATTGTAAATAGAAGGATCGTGATTTGAATACAGTGTACTGGGGATCAGGAAAAAGAAGAGAGTGATTCTTTGAACAAGAAATGGCGATTAGGGGGGCTTAAAGAGAAGACATATCCCATATTTATCACGCAAACTCCAGTCATCCTCGAAGTGGCTTTTGGCTAGCCATCGAACAAAGACGTGCTTTTTTGCGGGCGCCTGGAACGTTCTTTCCTCCGATATTCGGACGCCACTGGAGCTATGCATTTTTGAATCTTGATTGAAAACGAATTTCTATAGAACTGCTTTTTGTGTTTAGTTTGGTGTCCGATTAGCACGGTTGGCTACGTACGATGCCAAAGAAGTTCCACATACATGAGTCATGTATTGCGCACTCGTCTTCATAAATGTACTTCCAAGCTTTCGTTAAATAGTTCTTACATGAAGTTCTAGAATAAAAATGTATTTTAAATGGGGCAGAACTCTTTCACAATGTTATATTGAGATATGGTCACAGGTATTTTGTTGATAGAACATTTACGAAGCTCCCACAAAATCTATAAGAGCCATATTCCACATTCTAGCCCAACATACCTGTTGTTACCTTTCATTCATATGCAATGAAGAAGTGCCATTACCCAAAACGTCGCCTATTTTTTTCTTTTTAATGCCACAGTGTTATTTATGAATATGGAGTTTTCGTTGTTGTTTCCGTTGTTTATTTGAACTGCATGCCACTTGTGATGCAGCACGGACAGCACTCGAGAGTTGCTAAACAGTAGCAGGCAACAAGGGGACCGTGAACAGCACATCCCTCTGCGTGGCTGTAATACCACAAACCACAGTTGCAATTAAGTATTTTAATGCCAAAATTATTTGAACATTCTCTGGATACTATAGATAATATAGTTATCACGTTAATAGAATGATGGTTTAAGTTCCAGTAGAACTCCAAAAATGTGTCTTCCAATTAACCACAAAACCTAAACATCACAGCGCCTCTGCAGTTCACAGGAGCTCCTGTAATTCACGGGGGAGAGAATCATAAAATGTGTGAGTTTTCATCGAGGATTTTTGGAGTTCGACTGCTGCATTATTCTATATACATTAATCTTGAATAGCAATACAACACCATGAACAATACCACCATTTCGAAATGCATATTAGAGTCTGCATTTTAAGAGCTATGAGGACTTATCACATATAGCAATTAAATACGTTTTTATAATCAACATTAAACAACCGGGTGTTTCCAGTTGAAGATGTTTTGGGACCTGAACCAAACCAGAACCCCTACCAAGCACGGTCAAGTCACATCCCAACGAAACACGTGGCCCGATCCCTCTGTATGTTAGGCCGAGTGCGGTGATACATGTGGTCGTGAGCCACCAACCCACACAGGGTTGGTGGATTGTACCGAGAACATTTGTATGGCGTGCCTAAAGCAAGAACACTGAGTTGCCTGTAAGAGGCGGTACAGCAAGTAGGATTCCAACGTATCTGTGCAGACTTTGAATTTTGGTCGCCTATGCGTGGATTTTTCTTGTGGGCATTCAGATTTTTTTCCCCCACCCCCACAAACAAAAATGCAGTTTAAACAAAACTCGTTCTCGCTACGTTGTTACGTATTGTAGGAATTAGCCGAGTGTGAACCAGCACTGCGAGAACTATACATCTGAAAGCAAATCGCAATAATTGTAAATGTGGCACCATTGTATTACTGTATTTCATACCTGAAAACGATCTACTGCTTAAGTGTATGAGCAGCAGACAGCGTTGGGGTGTTTGCTTGAAACTTGGGCAGGTAGAGGCCAAACTTGCTTTCAATGCCAGCGAAGGTGACGTTAGCCAACCGATATCCGCCAATGTGATTTGTATCAGGTGGAGGAAGGTTCGAAATCCGTGACTTGGGTGTGGGTTCAGAGCCCGTTGGCTTGCTGCAAATGGGGAAAGTGGCACGTCAAAAGTCATTAAGCGAACGCTGTATGGAGGGTGCATGTAAATCAACGAAGTGTTTAGTTGGTCTCGAGTGTGTGATTGTAATTGTGGGTCCATTCAAAGCATTATTCTGTCATCACAATCATTAAAAACGCGCCTCGTGAATACAATGATTGGCTACCAATATTCTCATGATGAAAATACAATTACAGCGCATGGCAACCAAATAATTGTGGCATTGACTTAAGCGTAACTGTTTTGGGGGATTATAAAACAAAATAAACCTCAAGGACACACAACATGCATGTATGTATAAACTTAGTAAACCGTAATGTCGTGAATTACATATCGTTACTTACATTCCTCCAAAGTCAACGTACAACCATCTCTGCAGCAGCTCATATGAAACGAGGGTGACACCAAATTGAGGTGATGATCGTAACACACGTGCTAAGCAGGAGGGAAACACACTTGGTTAATATAAATATTTTTCATCGTTAAAGTATCAATTTTTCAAAGAAATGCAGGGCAGTGCTTCTCTCTGTTGGTAGCTTTGAGGCAGGAGTGGAACTGCAAGAGTCCTATGGATGGTATCAGTCCCTCCTTAGAACAATCACTGTCAACTTCTCACAAAGTAGTATATATATTTTATATATGCCAAATAAATCATGGGCTAAGTCAATCCTTGCCAATGATATGAATTAAGCTACTGCCAATATTTGAATCGTGTATTCTAACCAAAAGGTGATCCGGTCAGATGTTTAAATGCTCATCATCATTTTCAACAATGAGATCAATCCACTGCTGGATGAAGGCCACCCCAAGCATTTGCCAATTTATGATTTTGCAATTCTTCTCAGGTAAGCGACGACACTGGCTACAATTGCAATTAGCACCTGCCTATGAGCTGATTTATTTGCTCCATCTTTGGCTGCATACTGTCATTATACTTGATCATTGGCCATCAACCTTTATAATGAAGTGTTCTGCTCAATCACACTTCGTTTTCTTAACAAGTTTCAATGTTCGTTTAACGCGTAGGCTTTCGCGACCAATATTATTCATAATCAACGTTTTTGGGTTAGATCGCGTTATTTATACACATTTATAAATAACGCGATCTAACCCAAAAACGTTGATTATGAAGTTTCAATGTTGTATTTAAGCCACGTATGTTCTCTTATCCATGTTTTCCTCTTTATCTCTCATTAAAATTCCAAGCAACTCTCCATGCTTTTTTTGCACTCTTAATTTTTTGACCATCTTTCTAAACTGTATGTCATAGAAGGTAATATGCACGAATTAAAACAGTTTACTCATGAGGCAAATTGTTTTGTTACTTTTCATTGTCAAGTTCATCTTTCGAAAAGTGTTCCAACCTTCTCTTGGCTGCCTCTGGTTTCATCAGTTTGACTTCAGTCTGCCTTCAATCTCTGTCCGAGGTATGCATGTGTTTTCTAGTTATGTCTCTCTCACAAACATCTCCAGTTGTTTAGCGAATTTGTTTGGCATGAGCATCGTTTTGCTCGTCGTTATCATAATCCCAACATTGTAGCCTTCTTTATAAAGTTTGAACATTTCCTGCAGTTTATTTCCGTTGGATATTATAATGAATGTTGTTGGAAAATCTGAGATGGTTGTTATTTTCTACGTTAATATTTAAGGTTTTGTTTCTGCAATTCACTTTTTGGAAAATATGTTTGCATGTTGCTGTGAATTTCTTTGGTGAAAGTGCGTCACCTTGTCTGACTCCCCTTCTGAAATCTCTTTTGGTACTCCAAGTCATTCTTTGTGTGGCTGTTCCATTTTTCTTAAGTTTTTGTGCTTTTAAAAATATAGATTTTCTATCCCTTGGCTTGTTAGGCCTTGGCTTGTTAGAGCAAGGCCTAACTTGTTGTTTAGGCCTTGGCTTGTTCGATCTTGGATGACGACATCAATTTCTACTGAGTTAAATGCTTTTTTTACAATCTGCAAAGGCTAGGCACAATGGTTATTGATCGTCATTGGTCTTTTCCAGAATCTAATGCCTGGTATTTTACTTTGAGATAATACAATGCTTTCGAGTATATATTGAAACAAAAATATTGGTTTTTCTGAATAAAGAGCTGCAAACTTGTTTTTGCTTAGACTATTTCATTAGGTTAATTATACAAAGACATCAGTACATTATAGACACACTACTGTTTTAGGAGAGTAGATTCCTTAATATCATCCATCCGATTATTTTGGCATATTGTTAAAAGCTTAAAATTGACGAAAAGTAAAAAGATACTCATACAATGAAGCATATGGTAATACGTGAAAAGGCTCGTGGTAGTGATGATTACAATGGTGACTTATTGATGCATGGTAGGATTACCTCCAGCTCCCTTCCAGAATGCGCGCCAGCCCTCCTCGTGCAAGATCTTACGGAAGCAGTCGTAGACGCCACTGTAGGATGTCTGTCCAGCCCGTGCCGCCACTTGTAGCCGTGTCTTGATCACGTCGGCTGGAGTGACTAAGGATGCCGCTGGCATTCCTACATTCCAAAGTACAACCATGCCAAAACTGGGGACCCGGCGTTAAGCTTTACTGATGTTTTGTGGTATCTGTTCACAGCCAAGACCACTTATTCTAGAACTACTCACGTTTAAACTGACCACTAAGTGAATACTGTTTGCCTTAATTTATAATCTGTTACTGCGTCATCTTTCCCGATATAATTAAAGTAAACTGATATTCATTTGTATTGTTCATTTTGAATAAAGGTTTCATGCCCTCATACATAAAATAACAGGTAATTTAAAAAAAATTACGTTTTTTTCTATACTGTTATTGAGAGAAAGGGAAGATCTCGACTTTTGGCTGACTAGCTTTCGGGAAACATGAAAGTCTGCAGAGATGAATAATGCATTAATATCGATTATGCATTATTGATCCTACAGCACCTACTAAGCAACCTCAGCGACTAATAATATGTATGATGCTCCATATAGTCTAAAGAAGGCCAGTCTGCCGAACCGTCGAGATATTTATCTCAGTGAAATTTTAAATTCGCCTTACCACCCCATGCTAAGAAAACAAACATTTGAAATCTATAAGAAAACCCTGTGTCAAAGCTCGATTGGATTGTTTAAGTGGTAAATATGATTTACATTAAACTCCCACATTCCATGTGTTCACTGCATTATGTGGATATGAACTTATCTTTTTCAGAAATTCCTGTTTTGTTAATTTTATTATGATTATCATTATTTTTAAATCCTTTATATTAAGTTCACTTGCTTGCTTGCTTGCTTGCGCGCTTACGACCGTGCAAATCTTTCGGTCGTTTTTTAACCCACTTCCCGTGATCCAATCGAGCTGACATTTTGCACACAGACTCGTTGTGCGTGACAATTTATTTTCGTGAAATTTTTTTTCCATAACTTTACACTTTTTAGGAATTTTTTTTTATATTTAATTACCAATTGCTTAATGGTGGCAGGCAATCATCGAACCCATAGGTGGCAGCCATCTCAAGCCAGAGGACGAGAGGACTCTAGCCGCCACGCATATAAAGGATTTATAGTGAAAAACTTTGTTTTTACGCGTAAATTTTTTACTCTAATCGTATCTGCTGTGGAAGCACCTGCAATGGCTCCGGCAGTAAGGAGCTGGAGAGGGCCAACTCGCCCGTCCTTGTCAGCCAGCAACATTTTGGTGTGTGCATAAGTGGGGAAGTAGATGGCTGAGAATGGGATGTCTCGTAAGAAGCAGGCTTTGGCACCCTGCGAGTGAGGGATTCCACAAAAGAGCAACGTTTACACAGGATCCACCAAATACTGGACATTTTGACTGGTGTGTCATAAATAAATGTCTTTTTTTACCCGTGTAGAAGCTCAGATTTTTAAGTGAACAAACGAACACAGCACTCTCTAAATTTGTTTTAAATAGCACTGGATTAAAACAAGGTATTGCCTAAGTGGCACAAACATTGCAATTTTAACATCATAGAGCAGGATGATGGATCAATGGGTTTCCTAGCAATGATGAAAAATTATGGACAAGGGGCGTCACCTCGCCAATCGATGTAAAAGATGCTGTTGTGAGCAATTTATTCACGTGATTTTTTAGTTTGTTATATTACTGTGCTTTGAATATGGAAAACATATGTTAGTTATATTATTGATTGTGCAGGTAAGAATCCATTCAGTGCAATAATCTTAAAATTATCATTTGTTCATCGTATTTATCATGACTCGTGTGTATATATGTATAGTGTTCAATACAATAAAGTTAAAATACAATTTATATTTTCATAGCGTATCAATGTGACCATATTTTCAGGTGCTGTACAGAAAATGCACATTTCTATTATATAAACACTGAATCATCGGCTTGTGCAGGAAGTCGATAGTATGGATCGCTCAGGGAAGGGAGTTGCAGACAATGGGGCCAGCAGAGGAGAATGAGTGACCTCCCACTGAGCAAAGGTTAACTAGGGGCTTCAATAGAAAACCTTGGTTGCTGGAGTGGAGAATGTGCAGAGGGGAGTAGAGTGAGATAAGAGGAGAGAAGTAGGCAAGAGCAAATCCATGGAGAATTCTGATGAGTGTGATATTGAATTTGATCATGGAATGGATTAGGAGATAATGGATGGATCGGAGCATTTGTGTGATCTTGTAACGTTTACAGGTGAGGGAGACGTCTGGCAGAGGCAGTTTGGGTTATTCGCATCTTGGAGATGAGGGAATTGGGGAGGCTGTAGAGGAGATAATTGCAATAGCCTCATCAGGATGTAATGAAGTCACGGCTGGCAATTTCCGCATCAGCAGGGGTAAGGAGATGGTGAAAGCGGTAGATGCTGCGCAGCATTTAAATATGTGGGAACAATTAGATCAATGACAACTCCAAGCCGTTGCACACTCTTCGCTCGTGCAATGCAAATGTTTAGGAGGCACTCACTCAAAGTGGAGTATTTGCTGAAAGTAAGGAAGACTAATGAGGTACAGTACTTCTGTTTTGGCAACATCAACATTTAGATGTTTAGGCAACCAATCCACGGTGACAAATGTTAAGCCAGGATGTGAAGTGGACAGCGAGGTTGGGTTCACGGTGGAAGTGGCAATGCAGAGCTGGGTGCCATCAATATAAACATAATTATCAGCATTTTAAGCAAAGATGATTTTGCCAGAGAGAAGTTACGTTGAAAAAAAAAAACCAGGGAGCCAAGGAGAGGGCCTTGTGGTAGAAAACAGACCTCATATGGGAGTGCAGAATACACAGTCCGAGAGTTAGGAGTAGAAACATGAGGGAATTGTGCTGGAGATGGCTCATAGCTACATAGATTTTCAAGGGAGATGGAATGATCTTTGGTGTCAAAAATAACAGAAAGGTATAGCAGAACTCGGAGTGGCAGTGATCCATTGGCTCAAGAGAGAAGACTGCCGTTTACCCTACGTAGAACAGTGACAAAAATGTGTCTTAGTATGTTCACCCATAGTAGCATACACTAGAGATGTCTGCGATGTTTATTCGACAAATGAACATATGTACCGAGCACAACTATATAAATAAAAATACACAGATTAGGGGTTAATGATTCAGGGACATGCCAGTACAGTGTAGGTGCAGGCGGTTCCTGACCTTATAGAGGCCTAGGAATCCAAGGTCTCGCATCACAGTGAGTGCGCTGACTCGGGGACCAGTGGTGATCTCTCCCGCCACCTGTAGTCGGATCTTGACAATCTCCAGGGGGTTGGTGAATATGACCTGAGAGCCCCCAGCCTGCAGGATCATCACATGAAACATTACATGGACATTACATCGCCAGTCTGTGTAATCTTGATTTGAAGCTTTCGTGACTGCAGGAATCCATACTCTTTGGTTCTTTCAGTAAAGTCTGTGTAATGTTCAACTTGTGTGGGCCACCAACTAGCAGGCATCGCTGCCAGATTGGGTGATTTTGTGATATCTTTTTTTTAAGCCGATGTGTTTATGTCATGCAGAAAACCAACTGTGTACTATTGCTTGGGCTGTCTAGTGGTTTGGGCACAATTGCATCTGTATGTGTGTATGTTGAACTTTTTGAGCGCCGTGCGTAGCCAACCGTGCTCATCGCAAGGTGCTGGGGAAGGACAACAAACTTAACACGAAAAGTAGTTCTGAAAGTAGACGTGATTACGTCAATCTCTGTGCACAAACTTACACATGCTCCAGATAATATTTCTGCAAGTCCGTGAATGGATCCATCACGCTTGGTGAACTTGTCGCGCACTAAGTCATTTACCTGCACACAAATAATGGTCTTGTTATTCAATGATCATCGTTTAATTTGTATCCACATTGTATTAATATATTTTAAAGGAAACCACCACTCACTGTGCATTTCAGCATTTTACTACATATCTGTGAACTGGTAGCAAGCATTATATTTTTTTAATGTATAACAATGAAATAAATAAAAAAGCATAAGTGGTGAGTAGATTCATAGTTGTTAAATGATGTACATACAGTGAGTTTTATGGCTTTTTCTGGAGCCACACCGATAAGCTGAGGGAGAAGTCCTGTATAGAAAACGGTAGGAAATAAACAGATAACCTATTGGTATAAGAACATCATCAGTGTGTGAGTACAAGCGTTTTGATCATTTGCCATCGTGATCTCTTATGCTGCTGTCATGAGAAAGTTATATGCAATAGATGTCAGTGCTTGTTACTGAAATGGCAATAACTTTGGTTGGCTATAGTTTGAAACAAAGACATATTCCTAAAAAAAAATCAGCTCCACTGGTGTTTTGAGGAAAAAGTATAGTTTCTGAAAAGAAGGTTAATCTTTATGAATTTTTTTTTATTCCTAAGTGATGAGAGTCTCTGCCACGTTATCAGACAGAATCAGGATCTTTATTTATCCTGGAGAAATCCCAATGAGCTATGAAGTTATTTTTCACAGATTTACAGTCGGGGCGGGTCAGAAAGTTACATCAACAACAACAGTAAAACTACGTACACTACTCATTCGTATTCACTTCACACCTTCTCAGTTCAGTAAAACGAAAATGTCAAATGCTGACAGTTTGTGTTATTTTATTTGAAGGTTAAACTGCATATAGAAAAAACACACCCCTTAACTTAATCAAGGGGACGCCACTACCTTAAGAGATCAAACATGACCAAATGTGAAGTTGTTTATCATGTTCTTTCGTCTTGTGGGTTGCATCTGAACTTGTCTCGCGGAGTGCTCACCCCTGTAGAGACCGATTATCCCCTCGTAGCGCACCACTTTCTTGAAGCAGTCGAAGCTGTTTTTGTACATCAGCTCACCGATGAGCGACGAGCGTTGGTTTTGCATGCGCGTCTTTACCAGATCGATGGGGTACACTGCCGTGGCACCCAGTGCTGAAAACATTTAGAGACAGAGCAAAGGAATATCACTCACGATTCTATCGGTAATTACCCATTATCTTCTTGGTTCTTTCGGTAAAGTCACGTTGAAGGGAAATAATAAAATAATAAAAATAAAACATAATAAAATAATTCTCACGACGTTTCGGCCACAACGCAAGCAGCCGTCCTCAGGTGAAGAACACTGTCTTTCCAACAGACCTGTTCTTCACCTGAGGACGGCTGCTTGCGTTGTGGCCGAAACGTCGTGAGAATTATTTTATTATGTTTTATTTTTATCATTTTATTATTTCCCTTCTACGTGACTTTACCGAAAGAACCAAGAAGATGAAGCCCTGCAGTCACGAAAGCTTTAAATCGAAATTACCCATTAGCTTGAGAAGTATAGTGAACCCATCCCATACATTTTCTTTAGATGCCTAAGCACTTTAACCACAATTGCACCCACCCATTATGATCAAGTGTGAGTCAATTAAAATACCCAAGAGACATTGATATATTTATGTGTTTTATCACTACCCACACATTTTTGCCACTGAGACGTACATCGTGATCATGTTGCAATATTGTCTGTGATGCTTTGTGTGCCACAGACTCTGTGGTTTTTATTTTAGCTCGACCAAACAAGGGGTGAGGTAAGGGTGAGGAGGGACGTCAGCTGACATTTGTGTGGCGTCACTTATACTCTATAGCAGGCAGCACCAACTCTAGAGCAGTGTCATCTGCCTGCTGTTGATTAGCAATGATGGCATCACACTCACACACGTCTAAAGGATTATGTTGTTATGCACGCTACCAGATTGGAACATTACAATTATAAAACAAAACTTATAAGGATTTTTTTTATCACACTTTCTAATTGGTGTTTCTGTGTAAAATCATGTATAGAGATTGATCACAAGTCAAATTAGGCCAATTGTTATTGTTGGCTTTTAAGACTAACATTTTTGGTTATACTACTATTGTTTGCACATATACTTACACAATAAATACACAACCAAAAAGTGTTAATACATGTTTAATTGTTATGTTTCTCTCACTTGTTGAAGAGAAAACTTATAGTTTTCTTATAGTTGTCTCTTATGTATTGAAATGTACCAATGTCGGAAGAGATTCGCCTTGACTGGAAAATGTGCATGTGTTTCACTGTATGCATCGTAATGTGTTGTCTCGTAATTTGTGGTGTTGCACTCTGATGTTTGTTTTGAATCAATCTGAAGCACTGTTAATAGCACTATGTGTAGTGTACAGTGCTATTGTGTAATTGTGGATAAGTTTTGTCTTAAAGTACTTTGCCTTACCTCCTGCAACAGCGCCCAGCATGAACCGGTAGGCCGATTCTCCGACTTGCAAAAGAATGGGCCGGCTCAAGTCCCCACCAAGTTGCTGGCAATATAAGGTTGAGATGGGTCAACTAAAGTGTTTACTTCTCCAATATGCCATATAGATATTGCACATCTAAAGCACATTTTTGAAAAGTCACAATGTACACATTGTCAGCATATCCTGAAGGGTGGTAAAGTTTTGAGGACAAACATGACTAACTTCGCACTGAATGTTTTAAATGTCTTTCTCGTGCCGCCACTATGCTGGTTTCCATGTTTACCACTCACAACATAGCACATCATCGGTATATTAACTCACTTTGCATTTAAGTAGATGTTGATTAAAGTAAAATAATGCTCATAATTATGGTGGCACCAGGAATGGATTTGGGAAAACACTGCTGTATTGTAATTGTTTATATATATGTGCTGCTCGTATATAATAACACATTTATATTAGTGTTAAGTGTATTTAAATATGCAATCGAGTTTATCCACAAAAATATGTTATATCTAAAAATGAAAAAAAACTGTTTGATGAAAAGTAGTTATTGCAGTAATTAAATTACCTCAAACACATGCGCGGATTACACCTAAGTTTGGATTTTAATGTAAATTCAACCAAAAAGTTCAACCCTAATAAGTACGTTTAATTTCAAAGAGGGCTATTCAGTCCCTGTAAACAAATGCATGGCAAAGACAAAACCTGGTCCTAGGCTTATGATGATTTGAAATATTTTCCGAAGGAAATACGAAAAAAATGACTCAGTGTTGGTAATATTTTTCTTTGAAATTATTTGAGCAAGTTTTGACCTTGCTGCGTTGGGGTAAATGCGATTGTGTAATTCAATAGCCTCATTACCGGTGTACCATCAACCGTGACAAGAACATCAACGGGCTAATGTGCACATCTCCTTCAAAGATGGAAAATTAAAGACAAACCACAAGATTGTAGGCATTTTTTTTGTGGCCATGCAACCCAATATCTGGAGCATGGAGTAAACGACTGTAGTCTATGTTCCTTCAACGGAGAAGAACTAGCAACACAAACCCTCTCCTGAAGCCATCTTGTGGCAGGCAGGCCTGGCCATTGGCCACACGCAAGAATAAGAATAGCCTCATGATCGGGTGCACGTGACGCCACACCTGCCGTTGTTTCTCAGCAAGGTTGTAGGGCAGCGCTCCCTCCTCGAGAGGGGCAATCCGTTCAATATCGATCAGAGTCAATCGCCTGCACGCGGAAAGGAACAAGTCGAACACGACAACATGCAGCCATGACACGTTGCAATACTCTACTTGGAAAAAAAATTGTGATTGGTTTTAAAAGATAAACTATTCATAATAATACCACTATAGCTATTTTTTATTATGAAACATCTCTTCCAGATCCTTAAAAACTAATTCACATCATGATCTATGCGCTATGTAATATTTACAGGAGTGGCACACTGGCCACAAGCGATCAGTTATAAATGTGTGGTATTTGTTCACGGTTAACACGTTGTAACTGGATGTCAAATTGTGTATTCCTGCCTGCAGGGCATACTACTTGGTTAAAGTCAACAAGACACGGTGGAATACACTTATTTTATCACTGAGCATTTCTCTTCAACACATCCTGGAATTCCTAATTCAGGGTAATGAAAATGGAGTACTTGGAATTTTTGATTCAATGCTTACCGAAACATTAACATGTTTTGCCTAAAATAAAACAGCATGCTTATACAGTATGTACATATCTTGCATGAAAAAACTGCAAAGAAAAAAAAGCCGTATTTGCACAACTGTGAATATTGAAAATATAAACTCACCCTCTGTGCTCATGCAAATCAGCAAGATGGAACAAAATGTCCACTTCAATCGGTGTAATCTGCCCAAACCGCTGTGCTGCAAGCATGAACTCCTCTGAAATGGGGACATAAACAATACATTATAGTACATAAGCTCATTTGGTTACTCGTTCGAGTTGCCAAATCTTTGGTGTATAAAAACAAATTGTCAGAATTTAGAGCTTTAAAATGTTCTCATGAAGCCTCAATTATGACATAAATTCACGATGCATTTTATTTGTGAATATTTATATGGTTTTCTTTAGCATCATGAGCCATTTAGTTATCCTTATTGGGCTGGTTTGACAATTCGGTGAGAGGTTCACTAAAGAAAAGTGTTGTGGAAGATTCGCGCAACAGCAATTCCTTTCTGCATGCCATCCTCCCACATGTTTTGGTATGATGTTATCTAGTTGTAAACATTCACAACTATGCAAATACAACACGCTAAACTCTATAATTTTTGTAAACATTCACAACTATACAAATACAACACGTTAAACTTTATAATGGGGTTCACAGCATTTTAAAAAAGATTATTCTACTACTTCTAAACTTGGATATATGTATACAGTATGACATTTAAAACCAAAAGGCGGATTTCTGAGATCATCTTCTTGTTCAGAATGTTTTTTCTCAAGCTTATACCACGCACTACTGCAGGCATCCTCTGGAATTAAAAAAATTGAAGATGCCTACAATAGTGTGTGGCAAAATCAGTGCACAGCCCAACTTGGAAAACCGTACTAGGACATCATTATAGTTAACTCGCCTTTTGCCCGTCCAAGGACGATGGGTGTATTGCAGTAAATCTGAAACTTGCAAGCGAAAATCAGATCGCGACGTGATATTCATTGCATCCATTCGTGTGCAATTTGTAAGGCAGCGGTGACATAGACTTATTTCATTTAAAGGTTATAATCCCTTGTTCATCATGATGTCCTTTTTACTTTGATGTCTCAATAGCGAGAGGGTTGTAAGTTGACGCCGAGGAGGGGGGAGGAGGCGCCTCGGCCCCCCATGTGGAGTGATGTCACCCGTTAATAATTATTAATGGGGGGGGGGGTGTCCATTTGGAGGACGTCACCTTATAATGATTATTAATGAGGGGGGCTGTTCGATGTGGAGTGACATCACCTGCTCATGATTATTAATGACGGGGGGCTGGCCGACAGAGAGTGGCGTCACGCACCGGACACAGACATTCTTGGCTCATTATAGTAGTAAATAAGAACTGTGGATGTCACTATCACACATCCATATGAACCCACATTCCTTCTACTGATAAATCCACACCCCCTCCCCGTGCGTAAGCAAACCTTTCGTAACCTCCATGTCAATGCGAGAGCCTGCCAAGGTGCTGTATATCTTCTGAACCAGCTCCATGTTGTTGAGTAGGGAATTGAAGGCGTTGAAGAAAGCAAAGCTCACTCTGTGAGCTTTTAAGCCTCCAACAGCCTGGCAGAAGGCGGCAAAGTACATACATACACTCAATTAATGTGTCTACATTAGGTAAAATTCAAGTGTCAGTCAAATGATCATTGTGTGGTACTCATCTCCATTGAAATTCCTGAGTGGGTAGAGAAATTGTTAAATTCCTTTTGCTGAAACCACTACTTTAACGTGTTAATATCTAAATGATGTAAGCAACTTTATTTGTCAGTTATTCTGTCACGGTATTTAATAACGGGCTATTATATATTGCCACCGAGCGGAAATGAAGATCTCATCATTTTGGCAGACTGGCCTTCTTCAGGAAATATTGAGGTTTACAGATAATCTCCATCCTGATAGTGAAGTGTGGTGGTGGGTACTGTTGGAAGATTAATTAATTCGGGTGCAAGGTATCATCAGCATTTAATTATCTTTTTAATGCATTCTAGAAGTAATATGCAGATTTTACGACTGCAGTGTAATGAGATTTTTTTGTGGTTTGGATAATTTGGCAAAATGTGATTTATGAAACCTGTTGTACTGCATAGCACTGTGAATGTGACAATGCCCTTTTAAGAACAAAGGACTGCACACAATGTCCTACTTTCTTTCATGTTAAATGATGCTGTGTAGAATGCTGACTGCTGGAGTTTTTTGTTTGTTGTTTTACCAAATTTATGAACACATACACGGGTCATTAAACAATACATATCCCACATGTGTCACCCACAGCATGCCTGTATCATACATACACAAATGCATAGCCTAGGACTTCACACAAAACCTGCACGTATATGTAAAGACATAAACTACGCAGGTGGTTAGCAGAGGTCAAGTCTTGCGTTAAGGCCAAGATGCGTTTTGGTTCCGAGCTTTAAAACGAGCCAGGCCTCTCGACATGCCTTGCCTCTGCCTGTTCGCGACAGAAGGAGTCGTCGAAGTCACATAACAGAGCCACGTGTGCTCCTGCCACAGAGGCTGTGAACCGTGGATATAAAATGTCCGGTCATTGGTTTAGCGAGGCCAGCACTGCCCAACACCTTCTCGGATGTTCCCTGAAGTATGGCCAAACACACCCCATTAGCCACGCGGCATGGGGAGGTCCTGCTCAAGCAATGGATTGACAAATACACTTTCAATGTAGAAATTTCTCTCTGGGGTGGTGGGTGGGGCAGCATTCGGTGGGATTGTGTGTATCGATGAAGAAGTGATTTAAATTGAAAATAGAAGCGTATGTGTGTATTGAACGTCTTTCACACCGTACGTAGCCAACCGTGTTAATCGGAGGTGTGTGGGAAGGACAATAAATGTTAATCATCCGATAAAAACTAATTACGTACAGGCTGTGAACTGATAATGTTTTATATGTGGTGGTAGATACTGTGTATGTCCAAAGGGTGTTATGCTAAGTGTACACATTCGAGAGAACTGACAGCAACGAGATTTTCCTCCACGAAGGATGTGAGCATGTGTGGCCGAATGGTGACCATGATATCCCGGAAGTCCAGAGCAGCGATGGTGCCTGATTTGTCGGTGTCCTTGACAGCAAAGGCCTGGCGTGCATGCTCCAGCTGCAGCTCCTGCCAAGGCGCAACATGGGCACAGCCGCGAGCAACATAATACGAGCATGACACATCAAAGGCCTGAATCTTGTGTTGCTAGTAAAAGTACTTTTTTAATATTGGAACTAAAATTAACAATTTGGCAAGTGTACTTTTGTCAACGGCATGCGAATGAAATATTTCACGTAATGTGTAATTATTACAATTTATGAAAATTATTTAAAAATTTGAATGTTTCATATCAAATTGTCTACCAACATCAGATTTTTTAAATAAAACTAAATTTTAATAATGGATACGAATAGAAATACACGTTTCTTATTAATACTGTTTCGTCAAAATGTAATGGGCAAAACACTCAATGAGATCATATTATTCTAAAATAACTAATTAAATGAGACATCATACCTGTAAAAATTGTGTGAACTCATCATAATTCATGCTTTTCTTGTGGCTGCTGCCAAAGTGCAGCTGGATAAATTCACATTCCCAATTAAATGGGATATGCTGGTGGATGGTGGTCTGGCTAAAGATTTCCTTGATATTTTCTGCTCAAAAAACCACACAAACGCTACATTTTAGCATACGTGGATGCAGACTTTTCATCAATAAAAAACATGCTTTTAAATAAACACATTTGTATATTTTTAAAAATGCATTTGCATCTATAGTTACCAAACTTTGGTAACCCATAGTAATGTTATAGTTACTATCAAAACACAATGGTAAACCTAACGTATACACTGTAACTCGTTATCCCCAGGATACACTGTAGTTTAGCCCTCTCTTCCTCTCGCTCCTCAACATCCACACCTCCAATAAGAATGGTTGGCTACATATGGTGTGAAAGAAGTTCAACATACATACAGCATCATCAACCGTAATCAATCCACTACTGTAATCCATCTATGTATGTATGTTGAACTTCTTTCACACCGTACGTAGCCAACCGTGTTAATCGCAGGTTCGGGGGAAGGACAACAAACTAAACACAAAAACAGTTCTCACGATTCCTCCATGCAACAATCCACCTAGCTCCTGCAAAACTATCTAATTTTAACCACTCCATCTCTGCAGCAGATGTCTCTTCAGACAGGTTCCCTTCTTTAGCTGCCATTCCATCGTGAGTCTCATCCCCTGGCTATCAGGCTATCGTCATCACGTCTCGCGACGTGCCCTGCCCAAGCCAACTTGACAGTCAAAGTTACATCTTAAGCCTCTATATGTTCTCCAATAGATGTGTCCCTCTTTCGCTCTCAGTCTAATTGCAATCATGTATCTATCCATGTCACAGCTTTTATTATATATTCTCCCTCAGTTTATTTTTCTCAACCATATCCTGTAATCGATTATAGACTTTCTGCTTTAGACACAAAGGCATTTTGCTTCTGAAGATCAAGTTCAGATTCCATAATCACTCCAACCCATTCTCATCTGTGTCTTGATTTCATCGTATGGAATGCAGATCTCATGGAATGAAATGGGAGCATGAAAACAGCAAAAAAAAGGAGGTTGACGATTAGCAATTCACAAATAGTAGCCCTTTGGGAGAAAGATGGGACCATAACTCATGATAGAGAATAAAAATAAGTGGAGGAATGTTATGCAGATATCACACTGGTCGCACTTGAATAAGTAAACTATGCCCTTCGCAGTATGAAAGAGGGAAACACTCATGGACCACGTGGTATAACTGCGGACATCATAAAATAAGCAGCACCGATTGTTCACAGACGTAAGGAAAATGTCCTATCTCTCCCCTCTTATTCCACTGTATTCCCCTCCATGCCTTAACTCCTCTGCAGCCTCGACAGTCTGGAACTCCATTCCCCCAGCTATCAGTGCTGTCACTCCTTGTCCCTGTTAAGTTCAGGCTCAGGGCCTCCATTTTTTCCCTCTGCCTATGACTGCCTGTCTCCCTCAATCAAATACTTATTCAACTGTTACTGTGCAGTGTCTTGAGATCCGGTCACATTTAGATGCTAGAGATATATCCAAAATTGTATTTCATTGCCCCTCAATTAAAATATGTAATTTACTTCAATATCGAACACACTGGCCATACGAGCAATCACCAATATAATAAAACATTACTATATATATAGAAATTCTAATCATTCATTTTTCTTATTTATAGTAATTGAAGAGCACATCCATCGCAAGACGCAGGCCCAAGACGTCACATTCAGTTGCTAGAGTGTGCGTAGACCCTGTAAATCTCACCAAATGTAACTTGTCCATGTCCAGACTTATCGAACAACTGGAAGGCTACAATGAACATTGCGTCTGGTGCACAAAGCACCGACTCAAATGCCACAAATTCTTGGAAGGAGATCAACCTGGAAGAAACGATTGAGACATGTCAATTGTTTACTCTAATCATAAACTAGATTCCAATCACTTTCTCCGTAATGATATTCATATGTTCAACATAATAGACATTCTTAGGAATGAAATACCTCAGCTGATATTATTCATTGTGGGAGGAATTAAAGGTTTCAAGATTGGTTGCTGGTGTCGAAACGTCTGGTAATGAAATTATTAAGGTTGATGAAGTATTTTTTGCCAAGATCTTTTCTTATTTCTAATATTTAGATATTAAGCACAGCTGAGGCAAAACACTCCAATCATCGTAGATCACTATTGACAACCCCATAGATATACTGTCTTATAATATAAGCAAATACTAAGTGTAGTAAGCCATCCTGGATAATTCGACCTCTTAATGAGATCTAGATTAGACAATGTCTACCTGTTTTTTCTGCACATAATAAGTGGATTGCACATTTGTAGAAGGATTAGTAAACCGAGCATTGCATCAGGAGGTTTCTAGTCTATATACAAATTTAAGCCGAATTGTTCTAGATATGCCACTAGATTATTATCAAAGGAACAAACCCTCAAATATCTGGTATGCAAATATTAATACCAACAGAAATACGACTGATTTCTAAAGGAAAGAGGATAGTCACATGAGAGATGACAAGGGAAATAATAACATTAATAAAACAGAGAAGATCGCACAAAGGGGATACAAATATGAGTGAGAAGTTTGCATTTTCCTTTGAGTACTATTGACTTCACGCGAGGTTTTTGTTATGAGAAGCAAGCTGAGAAGCAGTGAGGGACAGTATCGGGGCAGATACAGCTTAGGGGCTTTGCAAGTTGTGTACTGGGAGAGAGCGTCTGCACATGTAGTCAAAGCTGTAGAATAGGCTAAGATGCATTATCAGAATGGAGTTAAGATACAATGAGGCAGATTGTGATGAATATCGTGGCAAGGGTCTCAACATAAAAAAAGTTGTACAGCGTCGTTATCGTTCGGAGAAATACAAGTGACACTGGCTTCACTGCTACAGAGTGTCTCTGTTACTAAATAATTGTTGGAACACTGGCTGGGAATAGGGATGAAACATCCAGATATAATGCTTACGCAAGCAGAAATGTATCGTTAATTTATCATGCACAGTGTGCTGTGTGTGCAGGACACTTCATAACCAAACAAAAATGCGTAAAATTCTAGGAATACCAAATACATATATCTCATGCTTTAGAGTAGCACACATAATCCCCGCTATTGTTTTTCATAGCTGTTACATCCGTTGCCTCGTTTTGCTTAGCAGTTCATTATTGTTTGAACCTACAAGCACTCTGGCCAATTGAATCTGGAACATAGCAAGGTCTCCCTGTGTTATAATCCATCCTCTCATTTACACAAATGTTTTAGATGTACTATCAAGAGCTTTACCAATGCACAGAGGATGTTTGACCTGTGGAGTTATCATTTTAAATTATTTTAGATGGGTGATGCACCGCCTACTGCCTAAATTGCATGCTGTAGACAAAGTGCTAAAGAGCAACCTTTGCTATGGACGATAATATGAGATATAGTCTGGGAGCATGGGGACCAGAATGGACACCTGCGACGACTTTGGCTGCTCATCATTTTGCATTTTATAGGTTAGATACCTAACGTGAATTCATAGGGCGCCCTTTTTCATCACGTGCACCTCACCCTAATTGTGCGTGCTTGATATGACATTTATCACATTTCTTTGTCGTGTAAAAAACTTTTTTTTATTTCATTAAAGGAGCACCAGATGCAGCTCTCAGCAATAGTGTTCTGATGGCAAGATAAATACATTTTAAAAGGAATTAAGTTAGTTAATAAGGGTCCATCCATTTAGTACGTACGCATGGAGGGGGGAGGGGGGGTTAACCCAAATGTGTACGCTTGCGTATGGGGGGTCTACTGACACGTTACGTACGCATAGGAAACGGGGGGGGGGGTGGGGGGGTGAAGCCTCGATAATAATTTGTCTACATTGGCCTTCAAATGAGTTAGATAGTCTGGCGGTGGACGATCTGCTTGCTTAAACACGTTAATATTATAGATTCTTGATCGTTTCTACGTGGATTAAATATCGGCCGTTCTATAGGTTTCGGGGGGGGGGGGGTGCGTCAGGCGTATGTACGCAGGTGGGGGGGGGGGGGTGTAAAAAGTCCACGTGCGTAGAGGGAGGAGGGGAGGGGTCAAGTTTTGACATATTTTTGCGTTTCGTCCTAAATGGATGGTCCCTCAGTCTCTCACGGAAAATACTCTCGACGCTGGACGAAATGAGTGGAGAGCCTTTCCGGTTATACACAATTTGACATCCACAATTTGACATCCAGTTACAAAAGCCTCCATACAGGAACCACATCATTCTAAGAAGAGCACTTACCCATCCTTGTTATGGTCTGCTACACCAGCCAAAAACTTGATCCAAGAAGGATTGGCAGTTGGCTCTGTGCTCATGCTCAGAAATCTCTGCACAAAGTCCGCTGGGCTCATGTAATATTCCCCATTCCTATTCTGGCTTGCAAACTACACACGACAATGTAAACATATAACATGTAAAATGTATAAATGACAATACATTTTCGGATAATGAAGAGTACACTTTTACGATAAAGTATACACAGTGAATGCTACATTGGAGACGGAAAATATCTATTGAAAGGTCATACGTTTTCATATACAGTATTACCTTGTAACCTATTCAAAGTAAAACAATATTGCCCAAAAAAATCCAATAACTTTCTTTACTTGGCAATAGTAATGAAACGACTGTGACTTAGAATTATTGGGGATTCAAAGACTTTCAATTGAATAACAGATAGTCCTGTACTGTTATAACATGTACCAGCATAAACATTTGATATAACTTAATTGTCATATTACTCAAAAAGTGTGGATGATATATGCTTACACCACCTTTAAAATGTGAAAATTACACCAATAGTATTTAGGATAAATTGATGTTCAAAAACTTTGCTCCCTATCGCTGAATACTGAAAGATACATTTTTCTGCATTGCCATCTACTGCCCACACCTATTTTAAGCATGGTGGTCACCCAACCAAGCACTATCCAGGCACAATGCTGCTTAGCTTTTGAGGCCCGCTGGGTTCATATGCATTTCAGGTGATTTAGTTTTATACATATGCTGTATAATGTACAATATAGTCTTGTTCAAGTTAATGTAGCCTTAAAAACTACCCATTAAAAAACATTATGGAAACTACGATATATACACAAACTATATAGACATGGAATTTCCAAACCATGGTTCGACGGAAAAGCCATACAATCGTTTAAGACTGGTGTATTGCTTTGTCATCACTTGACTTAATACATGCATTTGATTAAGCCATATGGGATATAAACCCAAATGTGTTTCTTTATAATCTATTAAGAATGAACTTACCTTTAAAAACACATCCTTTAGCTCCGCAGGGTCAGCCCGTTTTGTAATTTGCACCTGCACAATTAACAGACAACACAGGAACTGGATAGTACACGCGTTATTGACTTCAAATTGACAACTTTGTATCGTTACAGTGTGGAAACGTGAACCCTCTTATTTAATATTTTTTTATATCTTGCAATCAGATTTGTGAACAAAAAATGTGTTGTGGGCACTGCAGCATGGCATGCGCTTTAAGTATGTAGTGTAGTGAACTCAGACCGCTAGGTAGACACGTACTAATTCACTGGTTAAAAGTTAATTAGCACAGGATTGCCTCGTTACCCTCTGGTCACAAGTTGTGCCCGCGCTATTTTAGACGTTCCATGTACATAATTACCTCTTAGACAGCATGAAAGGGTATCATTTCTCATTTCTCCTCTGGCTTCCTGATTTCACGTGTATTGGTTTTTTTTTCAATCAGGACTTATTTTTTCCCTTTTCATAAAAATAACTTCCTATTTGTGAGCTTACAGCCTGTGCTCATTGGCCAAAGTATAGTGTCCTTTCATGAAATGTCACGGTCGCCTTTATAAAAGAAACAGTTGATATATTTTTTTTAAACAAGAAGACAATCAGGCGTACATTTGTTCAATGGTGGTGTTAATCCGCCAATTGTTTGTTTAATGTCCCACATTCCGATAGAAAATACTGTGTCCAATTATAGTTTCATTTAAATGCCACACTTGCAATACAATTCGAACATGGCTGGTTTTAATGGCATGTGGACACATTTGCAGAGGTATCAAAATGATGAACCCTGATGTCCTGACCATCACATAGATGCTGTGATCCGACACTCACCAGAAATCCACAGGGCACTGCATAACATGCGTAGTCACCACCATGAGAGGTGAGGGGCCATGCTCCCATGGCATACTCTGTAAGTCATTTAACTCAAAACCCAGTGCCAGATGTAAAACGATACAATGCTGGTTTTATCTCCACTTTAACAGACTGTTACAATTTTTTATTGCAAACATTACACTACTTATGCTATTACATTCTACATAATGCATTACATAACACAACATGCGCATTGGCATTAACATGCAAGCTTCAAGTACACTTGACGGGCTTCAACCAGTGCAAATTTTTTGCAACGATCTCTTAAGTTATATGGACTTATGTTTAAAATTTTATAGTCTTCATTCAACGTTCATTTAAAATTGGTGGTCACGCGTAACAATCTGCGTGATATACTGGAATGAGATCAGAGGATTTCTTGTCAATGAACATTACTTCCGCGAAAATAACAGTTTATGTGTAGTGTTATAGGAATGTAACGGTTTTAAGACAAAGCAAGACGCACGAAATATACACATTTTATTGGCAGCAAATACTTATATTTAAATTAGTAGGCTCAGTAAGCTTTCAAGCCTTGCCAATATCTCATACCTGCTTCGCGTGAGCTTAATGACCTGGGCATCTCAGTCTTTTTAAATGGTTCCAAGTCTTTGCCACACAAAAGCCTCACTCTTCATGACTGTACATACGGACCCGAACTTGGAACGTACGGCCAATTTGAGTAGTTTTGCATTTGGAAGGACATCTGAAGTAACCATGTGGGAATACTGGAGCTCTGTAAAGGTCAGCCACTTACTTTCTGTACGCAAACGATGGTGACTTTATGCGATCAAAAGTCATCACCGTCTCAACGATTATCATCTGAACGTGGAGTGCACAGTGCCAGCATATATATGGTGAAGTCGAAATGTGCAAAGTTGCAAGCGTTCACGAAATTCGCATGCGACGAGGATGAAATCCCAGGGCCACCGCGGCTCGCTCATACAACACTCACACACACACACCCCATGCGAACTCGGGCACGAATTCACCTGTCACAAGCATAGGACAGCAACAGGATGTTTGTTTGGTGTTAATTATTTTTATTTCGCGATGCTCAGCCATCAATCACGCGCGCGCGTGTCACACAACCGTGCGTTAGTGTTAAACGTCAACCACGCGGCGCTCTGTGTGTGTGGGGGGTAGGGGAAAACAAAACCAGCCACAAACCGCACACTCAACAACAACAACGCATAGCGACAGTCAGGTTAAACTAAAGAGGCTTCACGGGGGGGTAAAACAACCCTCCCTTTGCACAGCCGTGTGGCGTTTACGCTTCACAGCTGTGAGGTTAAACTCTTCAGGGCTGCGCTTGATGAAAGAGCCACCACCACCGCCCGTTAGAGGTGAACAGGAGCAAGCAGCAGCAGTAGCAGCAGTAGGAGCAGCAGTAGAAGCAAGCAGTCTCATGCACACGAGGGCACGTCCACGGCCTCGTACCATGACGACGAGGACGAACGACACGGACACACGGGGCCGAGGCGCTGGTCAGACGAGAGACGAGAGCGGAGGCCAGACACGAGATCAGAGTCCAGGGCAAGAGAATCGAGACTAGGGCAAGAGAATAGAGAGACTCGTCGAGCAACAGATGGGAGCGGGCAGGGGGGAGGAGGGGTGGAGCAGAAACGGAGCAGAACGCGGAGCAAACTGCGCGAGACGAGGATGATGAGGATGGATCTAAAGCAGCCGCGAGTTGACCCGGGCAGAGACGCAGATCGGCGTTTGACGGAGACGGCCGTGGAGCGTCTTCGCAGCACGGGCGGGATAGAGCAGAGCGAGAGCGATAGACCGGGAAGGCCCGGCGTGGCTGGCGATGACTGTGGGTCGCAGGCTGGGGGGGGAGGAGGAGGAAGACGAGGCCCAGGCGCCGCGATGTCTCCGCCGGAACGAAGTGGCGTCCACGTCGCGGGCGTGACCTTGAGCAGGCGCGACGCGGTTGGCTGACGCGGAGTCACGTGGCGGCTCAACAGCTGATGCGGAGCGCACGTGGCGCACGCGTGGCTGATGTGGAGCTCACAGCTGATGTGGAGCGTGGAGCTCACAGCTGATGTGGAGCTCACGGCTGATGTGGAGCTCACAGCTGATGTGGAGCGTGGAGCTCACAGCTGATGTGGAGCTCAAAGCTGATGTGGAGCTCACAGCTGATGTGGAGCGTGGCGCTCACAGCTGATGTGGAGCTCACGGCTGATGTGGAGCTCACAGCTGATGTGGAGCGTGGAGCTCACAGCTGATGTGGAGCTCACGGCTGATGTGGAGCTCACAGCTGATGTGGAGCTCACAGGCTGATGGGAGGCGGTGGAGCTCACAGCGATGGATCGTGGAGCTCACAGCTGATGTGGAGCGTGAGCTCACAGCTGATGTGGAGCGTGGAGCTCACAGCTGATGTGGAGCTCACAGCTGATGTGGAGCGTGGAGCTCACAGCTGATGTGGAGCTCTCAGCTGATGTGGAGCGTGGAGCTCACAGCTGATGTGGAGCTCACAGCTGATGTGGAGCTCACAGCTGATGTGGAGCTCACGGCTGATGTGGAGCGTGGAGCTCACAGCTGATGTGGAGCTCTCAGCTGATGTGGAGCGTGGAGCTCACAGCTGATGTGGAGCTCACAGCTGATGTGGAGCTCACGGCTGATGTGGAGCTCACGGCTGATGTGGAGCTCACGGCTGATGTGGAGCTCACGGCCCGCGTGGAGCTCACAGCTGATGTGGAGCTCACGGCCCGCATGAAGCTCACAGCCCGCGTGGAGCACACGGCCGATGTGGAGCACACGGCCGATGTGGAGTGTAGAACTCACAGCTGATGTGGAGCTCAGCCCGTGTGGAGCACACGTGGGGCACACAGCCGGGTGGAGTACACGTGGAACTCACAGCCCGTGTTTAGCTCCCAGCCTGTGTGAAGCTCACAGCCGGCATGGAGCTCTCGCTTGGCGTGGAGCTCACAGCCGGGTGGAGCTCACAGCCGGGTGGAGCTCACAGCCGGCGTGGAGCTCACGGTCGGCGACGTGGAGTTCACAGCCGGGTGGAGCACACGTGGAACTCGCAGCCCGTATTGAGCTCCCAGCCCGTGTCGAGCCCAGGGCCGGCGTCGAGCCCAGGGCCGGGGCCGGGCTCACGGCCGGGGCCGGGTTCACGGCCGGCGCCGGGCTCAGGGCCGGCGCCGGGCTCAGGGCCGGGGTCGAGCGCACGGCCGGGGTCGAGCGCACGGCCGGGGTCGAGCGCACGGCCGGGGTCGAGCGCACGGCCGGGGTCGAGCGCACGGCCGGGGTCGAGCGCACGGCCGGGGTCGAGCGCACGGCCGGGGTCGAGCGCACGAGGGCTGCTGTCTCGTTCCATGCAGCTTAAGCTTTGTTCTCGCGGACCTGGCAGCGCTGTGGACTCTTCTCGCTGTGACCACTGGGTCACTGAGCAATGGAAAACTCTCTGATAGCTAGACACTGCCAGTAGTGGCCACGTGTTCACGTGAGCATGCAATTATGTAGAAAAAAGAGTCGACGCGGCCGACGTCGACATAACCACTCGTGATGAGGTGACCAATAGTTCATAGGCAGAAATTGGTACCACCGAAGGTACATGCTTAGTAGTATCGATTATAAATACGGATAATAGTGAATTGATTGTCCACCAAATTGGTTATCACGTAATTTATCGTTGTTGGCCACAACAGGAAATTGGAACCACTAAAGTTATGCCACCCTCAGGTAGTACTGACAAGTTACTCATGATGAAAGTCATGTTATCACGTGGAGCAAGTTGATGGTTTTAGCCCAGTCACCAATCACTGCACAAAAAGACAAACATTACATTTGGTTTTGAACCTAATTTGGCTAAACTCTGGCTCTGAGAACGTAATAATTTTCATTTGACTAATGGGACAATGGTATCGTGGCGCTTGTGAGATAGATACTTTTGAGAGGGTAAAAAGTCCACTTGAAATTCCGGAAATAGCTTTTCATATCAGGGATGTTCTCTACAATGGTGCAAAAATATGACTGATTCTTGAACAAAATCTTGACCCTGAATTGTGACAATTCATATAATTGCCCGGTGGGTGAGAGGAATTGTTATTACAACAAAACTAATACAACTAGTAAAGTAGAAAGTCAATTAAAACAACAGTTGGAAGATAATCTGGATGAGGAAACATCAAACTGGCAGAACAAGATGCTGTGCAGAGCCTGCATCGTGATTCAATGATAGATGTCCTTAATCCATGCTCTAAAGTAACAGGATTTGTTTTTACATTCCGGTCCTGTGATTGGACAAGAGACCTGGATAGATTTAACACAGGGCAGATTTGGCAGAGCAGATGTGAGGGGCTGGGTCTGGATTGGCAAGGAGGATTGGAAGGACTTTCATTTCAGATGTATATTTGTGATACAGTTTTTGCAGATTTGTGTTAACAGTTTTGGTTGGGTAGATTACAATCATTCCCAGTCCTATGAGATTGGAATCTAGACCAATCTTGGAAAAATGCTGTACGATCTTATCCGTATGAATGAGGAGTTAATACTCTTTGGTTATTTCGGTAAAGTCACGTAGGTAGAAAAAATAATAGATCAGGACGTTTCGATCGCCACAAGCAATCGTCTTGATCTATTATTTTTTCTACCTACGTGACTTTACCAAAAGAACCAAAGAGTATGGATTCCTGCAGTCACGAAAGCTTCAAATCAAGAATGAGGTGTTAAGTATGACTGATTACATTATTGTAACAACTTTAGAACGGTGACATTAATCATAGACATTTCACTTATATGTATTTTACCACACATCAGAAAATCCATGCCAACATCAATTAAGCATACTTTATGGAATGCCTTCAATTTGATAAATGCTTTTAAAATAAGTATAGAATATATTCCCAAATCTTCTTTCCCTGTTTTGTGGCATCTTGAGAAATGATTCAGTGTGAGGTAAACGTATGACCATCAAAGTCTTCTGTAAATGTGGAACATACTACTAGTACTATACGTAACTTTTTTTTTATCAGTTATGTTGTACAGCTCTACGATGTGTTTTCAGGTTGTACCGCATGTTGTTCGGCATGATGTCTGACGTTTCGCTTCATGTCCAGGAACTGGTTGGAGCAGCTCACGTTCTCCCTTATAAAATGTTACCGTGGACAGTTCAGGCAGCGATAATCGTAAACATACATCGAATAGAAGTGAGTTTAAAGACGTATTCTTATATGCTCTGCATTCATGAGAACTGAATATTTAAGTTACGGTATTAGTGGAAAAAAAAATTTCATCAACATATCAATTATTACGTAAATTAGAATAGTACGTTTTTAGACAACTTAGTAGGTTAGAAAGCCACAATGGTTTGCTTGCTGTGCTCTTGACATGTCGTTCAATTATATTATTTAGCTACATACCTTCGATGTATACAGTATTTGGAGACATCGTGGTGCAATGCAGAGGGCTTTTTGGGCTATTTTTGACGGCTCAGTTTAACCACCAATATGTATTAACTTCTGACGGAAACAAGAATCAGCTTTTGTCAATCCAAAGAGGTAAAGTGGCTTACCGTAATCTCTCGGGTCCTTAGAACAACCCAGAAACATCGTATGAGCAATATTAAAGCGCACTTTTTGTAGGTCATATTTGTCATCAAGCAAAATGTCTCCAACGTTGTTTCAGAGAGCAAAATGAGATTTGACAATGGTAGTCAGAATATTTGTAAATATCGACCAAACGTTGAAGATTCACCACGCATTCAATGTATTAGCGCAGATGCTGAAGCTAAACTATGAAAACAAAAACACACGTCGACAACAACATTGCTACATTTTCTTTAGAAAATATTTCGTGGAGTTTATATTTTGTACTTTTGTTGCAACCCATTAATTATTCCATCTAATTAGGTAATTGATGAGTGGATTGATAGAGATCAAGGGGATTACAGTTATCTCCTTCAAATAGTCACGGAAGCAGGGAGAAGGCATTTCTTTAAGATGAGCCATGCTCAAAGCCTGCACTGAACTGCTGGGTGCGGAATGGTAAAGAATTACTCTTCATGAACAGGTGAGCACGAGGTATGTAAGGTTTTTCATTTTTGTAAACTGTGTTCATTAAGTCACAGTTTGTAATTGAGAAAATGATCTATGTTTTACATGAAACTTATACAAAACTATTGTGTACATGAATATTAATTGTGGACAATTTCCACGCTTGTTTTCTCTCAGATTAGTTCACAAATATCTTCTGGAACAATACATTTATCATGGAAGAAAGATCAGACAAAGATATTGCACAGATGGAGGTGGAACAGCTCAACATTGAGATGAAGCTTGAGCGGCTCCAGGTAATAAACGTCTGCTACCTTTCATTTGTCTAATGAAAAGGCTCTGCTTAGCAATGAAATAACGCTAACATGCCCGTATTGCTTATTTTCAACATAGGTGTCCAAAGCAGCTGGAGATATAAAGGAATATGTGGAATCAAATGCTGCAGAAGACCCTCTTCTTAAAGGTGTCCCTGAAGACAAGAATCCATTTAAAGAAAAGGGTGGTTGTATTATCTCTTAGCGTAACGTTTTAAGTCAATATCTAATTGGCGCATTGTTTACGTGATAAACCTTACTGGCTGTGTCAGGTGGTGGAGGGTTACGATACACTTATACTTACGCGATCTAACCCAAAAACCTTATTATAAATCAATATCATTGGTTGCATTTTTATTATGAAATCCATAAATGACTAGAAGCTGTGTTCTTCAATCTGCACATTATTTGCATGAAATTATCAGTTATTAAATGGTTTATCACCTTAAACATTTATTTTTATTTTTGAGTAGCACCTGTGCTGGTGATAAAAAAGTAACAAAGCAGGACTAGGTTGTAATATTAATGAAACAATGAATAAATCGTGATGCTGTAGTTAGAGTACACAATTTTCAGAACGGTCACAACTTTAAATCAACCCATGTCTGCGGTCATTCAGATTAGTTTCACTTTGTGGAAAGTCTGCATGTGAATAATCTTATCGAGGAGACTGAACCCCACCTTGATAACGTTATATTTCCATCACTGACGCAGAGCCACCGACAGAGATGACTAATGCCTCATTGCTCATTTGAGCAGAGGCACTTTGGACAACATTTAATCAGGGGTTAAATATCTCGAATATCTCGTCGTATCTAAACAGTATTTATCATCCATCTGATGGAAATTTCAGATAAAAACTGAACTAAAAAATGGATCAAGATATCAGGAATTAATCAATGTTTCAGCCCACAACCTTTTCCCCATTCCTGTAGTCTTATAGAAAGCTAATGGTGGAGATGGCCAACCTTGAAAAGCACCAGCACTATTGCAGACTTATAGAGCATTCATAAATGTAAAAGACCAACTGAATACAATTCATTTGATGTTTTCTCAATACCACTTTAAATGGCAAAAAGGTGTGTTATGCAACTGACCATGGTCCTATCATAATAGAATTATAAAAGTTAATCCTGTTCGCCAAAATATATGACTATCTTCCCAGTAGATTAAAATGTATATTTAAAAATGACATTATTCGTTGTCTTTATACATATGAAATAGCTTTAAATTAGTAGGCAGTGTTATAAAAGCACTCTGTGTTGTGATTTCAACAATCTGAATTTAATTATTGAACGCAAGTGATGTTTAAAACTGTATATCTAACTGTCTTGGGCTTCCAATAGGTTTACTCAGCCTAAAATGAGTATCTCATGTGGTGTGTTAACATCACAAAAAAGGAGACAAACGTGGCCAAGAGAGGTTCTGGCCACATTGCCCCTTTATGCGGAGAGGATATGTTTTTGGTTGCTTAGAAAAAGTTATTAAAATTCTTTAGTAACATAATTATGGCATGCAAAGGTGCACAATGCTGTATTTTGACACTTAAAATTGCCAATAAAGAATCTGAAGTCTGACAAACCTGTCAGTAATGGTGTCTGTTTTTTTTTTATTGTGGCACATCTTATGTCAGTTAAAATCATACGACTGCACTGAAAAACATTGTATGTACGTTGAGACATGGTGCTTTTCTATCAACCCATGTGTTTTCACGGATTCAGTTTGTGTATTTCCTTGTGCTCAGGCAAAGCAAAGCAATCACTTACATGTAATCGCTAGAATGGCAGTTTGGTAAATAATTCAAGCCACTATGTACGAGTAACTATTTGAATACAGCAGAAATCCAATAATTTGCGGTGATATGGGGGGACCTTATGGGGGGATAGCAGAACCGATCATCTGCGGCATAGCATATTAGACCAAATAAATCAGTGGGCATTCATTATTATCACCGACGTGGTATACAGCGGGTTAGGGGGGAATTCGCCATGCGATTCCATTAATGTATAGATATACTGTTTATGTTTACATAATATGCAATGTCAATGGATGGTGTAGCTGCTGTTCATGTGCATTGCAACTGCTCTGTACAGTGAACCCACGTGATCTTTAGTATACTTCGTGGTGGTCTCTGTAAAGTGCCCGTGTACCAGTGTTATGTTTAAAAAAGAAATTGGTATCCTAAAAATATCAGAAGAAAAACATTGTGTAATCTTTCATGTTAGTTTCCACAACAACAAGCTATGGTTATTTTGTTAAATTTTACAAAAACATTCCCTTGTATTGCGATTTTTCACGTAAAAACATGTGCTTCTATTATATCTTACCAAGTGAAGTATATTTTCAAGGTGTATACATCACTGAGACATGTAATAATACGTACTTTTTAGTGCAGTATTTTGGAAATTGTCAGAGGCAAACTAAAATAATAAGTTGCAAAATATATTCCTACATTCCCAAACATAAAACGTACACAGAAAACAACCTATGCATGGGATTTGTTTTACATCGCTTTTATGGTGGGCTGGTTACATAAGAGGCCACACAAAGCTATTGCATTCAAGTAATTGCATTTGTTTGATCATGAAACTAACAGCAAAGGTGTTTGCTTGTATTTCTAGATGTGAATATTGACGTTTTAGCAATGATGCAATATTTACAAATAGTGAGATTTTATTTGGTTTAACACGTAAGCTTTCGCGACCAATATCACCCATAACACAGGTTTTTTTGGGGGCTTAAATCGTGTAAATATATAAATGTGTTGTTGAACCCGCCACCACCCAACATGGTCAATTAGTAGGGTTTGTCACGTAAGGGGCCGTCCATAAATGACGTCACGCGATTTTGGATGATTTTTGACCCCCCCCCCCTTCGTCACACGGCGTCACAAAAAGGCAGACCCCCCCTCAAATATGACGTCACAAAGCTCTGCCCCCCCCCCCCCAAAAATACTTCAAATCGCTTTAAACTATTGTCATTGTAGTGCGTATTTAATGTGGCGCTGCACTCTGATGTTGTAGGAGAATATTTATATCTATTTAAAGTTTCGCATTTTGATGTGACGTCACATTTCTCACCCCCCCCCCCCTCGTCACACATCGTCGTAAATGTCTGACCCCCCCCCCCTAGGTGCGTGACGTCATCTATGGACGGCCCCTAAACAGAACATGCCAATTTGTAAATGGTGTGGCTTTGCTCTCCAACACACCGGTGTGCTGTACCAGTAACGAATTGGCATGTTCTGTTTACATGACAAACCTTAATAATTGGCTGTGTTGGGTGGTGGCGGGTTCAACGACACATTTATATATTCACGCGATCTAACCCAAAAACAAACCTGTATTATGGGTGATTTTATTTATAAATAATTGAGTACAGTAAAGTCACGTAGTTAGAAATAAAATAACTACGTGACTTTACCGAAAGAACCAAAGAGTATGGATTCCTGCAGTCACGAAAGCTTCAAGTCAAAATTGAGTACACTATAAGCAAATATAAGTTGAACTATTCTTTGGTTCTTTCGGTAAAGTCACGTATAAAGATAAAATAATAAATTAAATAATAGCATACGACGTTTCGATTGCAACACAAGCAATCATCATCAGGTATAATGAAATAGCGACATAAAATCTAACCAGAAAACTATAGACAGACATATAAGCAGACAGATATCACCAAGATACACAGAGCGGGCAACACAGGTACAGAGAGGGGTGATCGTCTCTGTACCTGTGTTGCTCTCTCTATGTATCTTGGTGATATCTGTCTGCTTATATGTCTGTCTATAGTTTTCTGGTTAGATTTTATGTCGCTATTTCATTATACCTGATGATGATTGCTTGTGTTGCAATCGAAACGTCGTATGCTATTATTTAATTTATTATTTTATCTTTATACGTGACTTTACCGAAAGAACAAAGAATAATTCCTGCAGTCACGAAAGCTCCAAAATTACGATATAAGTTGAACTCCCGTTTCTCCCACCATTTTTTTTGTTTAAGCAATAGGCTCCGTCATTCATAACTGCAATCAAATGTATGGAAATCCTGTATGGTATTTTGTACATCTTGTTGATTTGACTCATACATTAGCCAATGTCACCCTTTATTTCAATCTCAAACATGCGCAATACGTAATGGTTAGAGAATATCCCGCATAAGCAGGCACCACTTAAATAACTCAGATATCCGCCCAGGAACCTTTTGGTCAACAAAGTAGGGGCAGTACTTTCCCACTCACTCTGCCACTGACAGTAATTTTTCTCGCATGCCAGTAAAACAAATGTTTCATTCTCAAAGCTGGAATTAGCGAAATTAAGTGCCGAACCATGATTATTTTGTTGTGTGCAGTGATTGGTGACCGGGATGAGACCATCAACGCTATGTGGCTGCCTGAATTCAAGGCCAGAAGCCCGGCAATGCCAGTCCAGTGCTTTGACCCCTAAGGGGCCGTCCATAAATGACGTCACGCACCTAGGGGGGGGGGGTCAGACATTTGTGACGATGTGTGACGAGGGGGGGGGGGGGTGAGAAATGTGACGTCACATCAAAATGCGCAAATTTAAATAAATATAGACAACACGTTCTACTTAACTAAATATACTTTTAAACAAATGTTTCATCCTACATCATTAGAGTGCAGCGCCACATTAAATATGCACTACAATGACAATAGTTTAAAGCGATTTGAAGCATGTTTTCTTTTTTGGCAGGGGGGGGGGGCAAAGCTTTGTGACTTCATATTTGAGGGGGGTCTGACGTTTTGTGACGCCGTGTGACGAGGGGGGGGGGGTCAAATATCGTCCAAAATCGCGTGACGTCATTTATGGACGGACCCTAAGTCACGCGGCCACCTCACATGTAAATGGGCGATTACAATTACAAAAGGCCTGTTTGAGACGATGTATATCATATACTCCAACTGGGCCGAGATCTACTTGCTTAGTGTATGGATTCCTGCAGTCACGAAAGCTTCAAATCAAGATTTACTTGCTTAGTTTAACGTGACTTTTACCATTCTGACATAATACCAACAACAGGCCTCATAATTATACTGACTTGTGTTTTTTCATACTCTGATATCATTAAGCATGATACGCATTTTGTTGCATATTTGTGATATACATTTTCTGGTTATGCTGGTCAAATTAAAAAGGCAACGTCCAAAATACAAAATGCATTTTCAATTATAAACGCATTATTGTAATCTATTTTTAATCCCAATCGTCCCCGTGTAAGCACTTAGTATTCATAATTTTTACCAGTTGTGTGTTTTGTTGCCCTGAGCCTGGCCTCATGGAGGGGAGGGAGATGTGGAGAGAAGGAAGCTGCCAAGTCACATGATTGCACAGTGGTAGGGCCTGCCTCGGGAGCCCTGGCGTTATTACCAGTGTGGTGTCCTGCAACAGAAAGGAGTCCTGATTAGTATTTTCAAACAACAATAATTGTTTCTATAGCCGATGTGGAGGTGCTATGTTATGATTTACATAGAGACTGCTTGGTAAGTTTGCTCTGGGATGGGATTAGCTTTGGGCAGTATGCACCACACTCAGTCCTTATCGCTATTTTAAGTTTAGAGGAAAAACGACGCATTAAAATACGTGTGCATGATTACATTTTCATTTTATGTAATCACTTTTTTTATTGCTCAGTTACCAAAGAAATCCACAAAGCTTGCTTATTTATTTCTTTGGGAGGATGGGACACTGATAAAGAAAATGCATTTTCAACAAATTACAATACTCTACTATGTAACGAATTGACTATTCAGAATACTAACTTGTGTAATTAACATTTATTTACTGAATACCGCCATATAATTTGTTTCAATTTATGATACAAACAGTCCTGCGTTTCTATACAGTTTTTATGGCATTTTTACGATGGAATGTTGCTGGCAGACACGGGTAGCTTTATTCTACAGTGCAGTACTAGGAATGAAAATGCCTTTCACGTGTAGTGGCTTAAGTCATAAAATGCTTTTCATCGGGTTTTACTTGTCCAGAACATTTTCTGCTGAAACATGCCGCACAGCAAACAGCTGACATGCGCACGGGTGCGGCGTGAGTAGGGCTTAATTGTAATCGTAATGGCCTGAAATTATCGTTTTATTATTGTTAACTTTAGACTTATTTCCACCACTGCATGTGGCATTTTTAAATGGAATTCTGTGGTTGTGACATCACAGTGAAAGGAACCAATCAAATTACATTAAATGCTGGAGTAGGCATTGGCTGGAAGCGAGGGCAGTTACATCGGCCAGGAGTTGTTCTCTTGGCCACTCTGCACCCACACACTGTTTCAGGAAGATTCTTACATTTTAAAGCTCTCGGCCACACTCCACTCTCCCAAGTCCGCGATTAAGGTAAGCAACTTTTTTTTTACATGACAAAAAGACATCGTAATAAAAGCGGTTGTATTTTTTCGAATGGACTTGTGTGTGTCGAGATTAATGTTTTAATACTTGCGTGGTGGAATGTTGCAGCTGCAGTTGGATGTTATTTAAGCGAGGAGCGTTAACCCCCGGGAGAGAGAGGTCTGTTTCACATGTGTTCTGCATTCCTTCCAAGCCAACGCTTCTGCGATCATGGAGGGAGACGGCAGGGGAAGAACCTTTGGTTCGTTCTTTCTCTCTGGATCCTTCATGGGGGGAATTCATTGATTGTTTTTCTTCTTTCTTCTTCTCTCGATTCGGAAATTCGTTTTGCCGTATCAATGTTTAAATAACGTTGAGTGGCGGTGTAAGTACCGGTTCTTTTATCAAGCCAGCACTGCTGGTTGAGAAAGGTCCTCCAAGCGCTTTGTGGCTGACAGTGGATGGTTTTTTGACCATACTTCGCCGTCGGGTTCACGGCGGGCAGCGCAGACATAGGAGCATAGTGCGGAACTGTACAACAATGGATTTTGCTGCACTATTCTCTGTTGACAGTGTATAGCAGCAGCAGCTTACAAACACCTATTTTATGTCACTCATCCAAGGGCACGAACTACGCTGCTTGGTGTCCGAGATGAGGCACATTCCTGGGTGACTTGGTCACAGGCCAACAGTTTGTGAAAGTGGATTGACAACGACTCAAGTGTTTGTTTCATGGGACTATCATTACAGTTTAGGCGATGGACTGATGCTTATTGTCATGGTGACTCACGTACGTGGTTCACTGGTAGAACATTTCTTTAATGTGGATGAAACGTGTTTTTTTTTTAAAACAAAATTCTAACTTTTAGATTGTCAGCTTAATATGGTAACTTGTTTAAACGTCTTAAGGTTAACTGAATAATACAGGGTATTTCTCAAATGTAATTAGAAATACTTCCCATATCTTTTTCTGAATGGGCATAAAGTAACAGTTATTCACTCACCCGGACTTCAAGGCTGTCAATTGCAAGTGAGGAGGCTAACTAAATTACGTCGGCTTCATATTATCCTGCGTGAAAGCGTGAAAAATCCAATGGGTATCGTGGTATGTGAATATAAACCTTAAATTTTAAAATATACATTAATTTTGGTCATGAATTAATGTTTCCATTTTAATAATGGTTACAAAATCATTTTTTTTATTTAGTATATGGTTGATGTAGATGCAGAGCAACAACTACAACTTTACATTCAAGTGGTCAAGCCAGATAAGGAGCAGCGGTTATAGATTCTAATTTGTGTCCGTATATAAATGGGATCACCTTCCTTTTGATGGTTCATCGTGAAAAATAAAATACACCATATGTCTCGTCTATCAACCTTTTCGTCTTCCAGACATGTTAACCATCAGCATGTGTTTAAACATGGAGAGTGGACCCATTTCACCTCCATGGACCTCTTTAGTAGATATTGTTGGTAAGTGCTCTCTTTCCACAGTACAACAGAATAACGTGTAAAATTCTGACCGAGCGATGTCGTGTAGCAATTCTTGTTAATTAAATACATAGATTAACTTGTAGTCTCTTGGCTTAAAACAAAAAAACATTTACATGGAGATTTGGAATGAGTTGCGAGGTGGACTATCACATTGCAGGATCGTTAGAGGTGGCAGCGGCCTTCGGAAGGGCCTTCATCCAGCACTGGATGGACCATGGCTGATGATGATACAGAATGATTGGCGATTTTAAAATATTTTCACATGTACAGTAATTACTAAACATCACATTTGTTATGCTTTGCAGTCATTATACAGTACTGCATCTAATAGTTTTCGTCAGTTTGAATCTATCATATCCAATTGAGTAGAATGAGGTCAGATGGATTTGACAGCTCCCTCAATGGATGCAATGAGACCACATGGGTTTGATGGGATTTTGAAGGTCAATGCTACTGCTGTGTGGGAAAATAGTGAGCTCGTTCTGTTAGATGTGTCCAAGGATTTATGAATGAAAAGTATTGTTTTGAGCTACTGCAAATATTACCTGGCCATATTTCAGTTAATAATGAATGATCTTCGGGTGCTGTTTTCACGTAACTTTATTTCTGGAAAACGGTAACCGCCCCCCCCCCCCCTGTTTTATAGCTTAATTTCAACTGCAATCTATAAACGAGCTGTTTGGGGCTGGCGCATCAAGGTGGAAGTGTGGAGGGAATGTAGATTTGTGTCTATTTGAGCTGATTCAATGTGCGGCAGGACGGAGGGTTGGGGGTTGGGAGTTGTGTGGGGATGGGGTTGCATTGCTTGGTCTTTACTGGTACATTGTGTCCAAATATTCACGAATCAATTTCATTCCAACGTAGTTATTTCGTGTAACTCACGGGAATTATTCAGACTCTCCAGATGTGTTTAACATTCTAGGTATCCACTTTCTTTCAAGCGGTCTCTACATTTGTGCCTGCTTGCTCGCGTTAAGCGTTTGCTGATTGATGCTGTCACTTTGTACATTGTGTCTCGGGCAGTGAAGGGGTGGAGTAGGCTAAAAGGGGAGTCAATGTTGTGTACTCACACAAGCATTTGCCCCGTCAGTGCCAGCCGATCTGATGCACTGTCCCCTGGAGCCGGCCGTGTAGTGGGCTTTTATGGGTTAATGGATAACACTTTTAAAAAAATCACTGTATAAAATAAGCAAGTAGAATTAGACAAAACTGTCTCATTGCATCCCACCCTCACTGCTACACAAAATCCACTTGTTTTTTTTGGTCGGTTCACTTTTTTAAGGTAAGCACTGCCCACCACCACCCAATTGTATTTCCCTGCTGTTAAGCTCATTTGTGAAATACACATTACTATGAATTGATGCAGAGACATAACCTTGTCAAGCCGTGCGTTATGTATGCTGTTGTTTGCGTGCGTAGGACTGCTCGGCATATTTGTGCTCGGGTTTTGTTTATAATACTGTAGATATACAATTAGGTGACCTTGTTTATCATGAATTAAGGCTATTTGACTGCCGTGCTATATTGAGACTTTGAGATGTAGAACATACATGGATAATACTGGTAGGAACCCTTCTAGTTACACCAGCCCACAGGGGATTATTGTGTCCGTCCGTCGTGCATCAAAAAATGTGTGGGGAGGGGCTGGGTGGGGGGTGGGAGGGGTGGGGCTGGGTGGGGAGGGGCTGGTCACCCCGTGGTGCCCTTATAAAACTCAACGTTTAACCTACTCACGCCAGCTTGTGCCCGCCCTCACAGTCGGGCATATTTGCGGAATACACCACGCCGCCGTTGACCCTTACCATTGACCGAGCAACCCAACGTTCCTACCAGCTCCCTCCGCAGGAATGTGTTGTTCTCAACAGAAACTGTGGTGGGACCTGTCAAGGGTACACTCAACTCGCACAACGCATGGCCAACTTCTCTTGACCACTCCCAATAGTACAGATCAAGAGAGAGGAAAATTATGATATAGCTAAGCAAGTTTGAATTCGTAATGGAAACTGATTTCTATATATTTATTTAGCGAATGTTGTCACACGTGACTGTCAAAGTTAGAGCGCTAGATATGCAAACAAAAAGAAATGTCAATGTAATATGTGAGTAAATTCATTCTAGATATTCAACAAATCTTGTTGGGATACATTTCATCCATTACTCAATGGAACAAAGGGCTTGTACATCATAAATGTAGTACGTGTATTATATATATATAAAACAGTTTTACAGTATATGGGAAATGCTTACAGCATTTTCAGGTGACACGTTATTGGATAGTTTTAACTTTTGGGAAAGCTTTTTTTGATTTAAAATGTGTGAAATATGATTTGTTGATCGGGCACTCTGGTTGTTGGGGCTGGCTGACATTTGCGACGTGTCTTTACATGTCATTGTGTGAGGAATCCAGTACAGTTTTGCAGGGAAGATGCTCATACAAGACAAAGATCCCCCGTGTGTAGCCTTAACATACTTTTTTGGGGCAAGTGCTATTAGTGAGTAGCACCTATGAAGGCCGGCACGGCACACGAGGGGGTGGGTGGCCAGCAACACGCCCGGCCGCCTTTGTCTCCCTCATGGCGATGGTTTTACACACTGCACAAGGTACTCATTTGAGGCTGGGTCGACCTAGGGGAGACCCAGAACCGGGAATCGAACTGGGGTCGTCTCTGCTCACACACAAACTCGTCCTCAAGCAACGGTCCACATCTCAGGTATGGCAGCAGCAACAGCAGCAACAGCTGCTGCCATACCTAGCAACAGCTGCTGCTACTGAAAGGGTGGAACACAATCTCATCAACTACCTCGTGGGAGGGCCATAACTCAGACGAGTGGCACAACAAACATCTACAAACATCTACAAACCGGTGGGGGGGGGGGGGGACATTACTTGGAATGAAAGCGGAGAACAGTGATATTATGGATAAACAATGTGGCGTTGGAGGAGGGTTCTGATTTTTAATCGAAGGGGTGGGTTGTTTGGAACGGCATTGCTCCCCTCTGGCCATGGTTATGGACCTCGTCTAAGTCAACAGTGGCACAGCCATCTTGTTGCAGCCAATCCTTTGGGAAAATCTGTACAGTGGAAGGAAAATTAACGACGAAGGAAAACGTTTAGAAATGATGCTCCTGCGTTTGGCAGGTTTTTACTTTATCTGTGAAAGTAGAATTTGTATTGTATTTGCAGAATAAGGGGCTTATTGGCTATCTCGGCATCGCCGGTAGTCCTGATCAGTCATTAGTCATGATCAATCCGCTGCTGGATGAAGGCTTTTCACTCCTTCACAGGCCCCGATTGTCCCCACGGTGCCACAATCCGGATCACTTCTGCACAAAGGCTACTGGTCTCATCGCTCTAGCTCCATTGATGCTCGTCCTCTCGGGCACATTTTCTCCTTTGGCTGACATTCTGTGACTGGTCTTGTTCATCAGCCACCATCCCATCTTGCGATGCATATTACCCGAGCCACTTTGCCTATGATAGACTCTAATTTAGGTTTATTCCTTGATCCCTGTGTCCCTGTTTCTGTGTGTACGTGTAATCACATGCATGCATCTGTCATTGCTTATTTGTGTGGCTTAGAGCGTTTGTTACGTTTTGTAACGAATTGGCATGTTTTGTTTATGTGACAGACCTTACCAATTGGCTGTGTCGGGTGTTGGTGGGTTTAACGAAACATTTTATATTTACGCGATCTAACCCCCAAAAAACCCTGGATAATATTGGTCACGAAAGCCTACACGTTTAACTGATTTTGTTTGTCATTTGACATATCCATATGCTATGGCACTGATTCAAAGTGTTCTTATTTAGGCGCAATGGTATCCTGATTTTCACGATTAAGTTCACATTGGTATGTTGCTTTTTCCAAAGGCTTCTTCACTTTACTTAATCCTTTAGATGGTGATCCTCCTGCATTTATTGCCCTTGGTTAACATTCTGCTATTTTCCAACAATAATGTTCACTTGTCATGCGCAACTTTTGTTTTGTTTTTAGTTATCTAGATGAAAACTTGCAGCCATATTTGTTAAGTTCTTAAATCATTTCCTGTAATTCATCCCGGGTTGGTTTTCATAGCCACTGCAGTATTATGTCAGCAAATCTGAGATGGTTAATAATTTCTCCATTTATGTTTATGCCTTTATTTTTCAAACCTAGTTTTTTGGAAAAAATACATTCCAAAGTCGCCATGAATAGCCATTGTGAAAGTGTAAATCCTTGCTTGACTCGTCTACTGAATTGTATTTTGTTCCTACTCTGCCATTGTGTGTTCTCATTGTAGCTGCTCTATATTAAGATATGCTTTTGATAATTGGGGAAAGTCAACAGTGGATGTCTTCTAGAGAAGACCGCACCCTTCCATGGAAACATAGCATTTCCAACACTCATTCAGGGCTGCCAACGCATGAATTCTGCCTCTGCTCATTGGAACACGGAGACTCAATAAATGCCAAACTGTAATACAGTTTGTACTTTGTGTGATGTTCCATCAAAATTATGAAATACAGAGGTGTATGGGAGTGGGTTTGGAGTGCTTGTGGAAAAATGTACTGAAACATTTAAAGTAACATACCGATGTGTCTAGAGAGGGAGGTGTTTAATTGGTGTGCATTACCCACGATATAACAAATGGATTAGAAACATGGAAATTGACAAAGAAAATGTAACAGTAGCTGAAAATTGCACATGAAGGTTTGAGAGGTGAATGTTTTGGAATTACACCGAGAGGCAGGAACACCCATTCGACAACATACACAACGTGATAACCTAATTTTGACTAGGCAGGACACATCATGAGAAGAGATCGTGACCAGTAGCCGAGACTATTGATGGCATAGCAGCCAATGGAGGGAACGTCTGAGAATACGTTTATCATAGAGATGGAGCAATGAAATCGTCCCTTGCAGGAACTATACGGATTGCTGCATCGAGTGACCATGAGAGTTAGCAATGACTTGCCTTCATCGACTGGTGGCAGGTTATAATGATGAAAGTGTCACTCATCTGTTCTCCTTTAACGCGGTAGTTGTGTTCCTGAAGAACACTGCGCTATGGAAAAATCGCATTCTAATAAATAATATAACGTAAAGCACAGTCTCCGAAACCACGTGAGATGTTTATAGAGGCTGAACAAAGACTGAGGCGTGTGGGTAGCATCGAGAAGCATCCAGCAGCATCCCGCCTTGTGTGATGCTATGCCGAGGCAGTCGTACAACCGCTTATTCCTTCTCGCGCGGCGTAGTTCAATTCACTCGATTGCGTTATATTAATTTAGCATCCGCGTTATAATAAATGTGTTCCCTAATACATTCATTGCGTTATATCCAAAATTACGAAAAATAAGAATAGGTTTTACCCTTTCTGGCAACTAAAAGGTGTTAAGATGTTCAAACACCAACTAGATACCTTTTTGCAAGGCATCAAGTCTGCATTAACCACACATACTTGTGGCAAAACATGCGAAAAGGTCCAATGGATATAACTGCTCGACCTGAGCGTTATTTCCAATTCGCATTATGAAAACAGGCGTTATAGGAGAACAGACTATTTCCATGTCAAACTACACATTCAAATTGGCCTCCAACTTGGAGTCCATTCTCTGTGTTTGGTGTAAAGTGGCTTTTATTTACTTAACAAAAGGGTTTTTGTGGTGTTATCTGGCCCAGGTGTGCTCACTGCTGGGTGTGACATTTGAGCTGCTGCCTGGTGGTGGAAATTCAAAACCAAACGGGCAGCCATGCACCGCCCCTTCACTCGCAAGAAAGGTGGGCCTGTCAGTCCGTGTCATATGGCGCATTAGGGGACACAGCTGATGCATCTACCGGTCATCTCAGTCAGTCAAACTATGGCACCTGGGTCTGTCCCAAGACCTCCTGTCAGCGAGCCTTCGACACTTCACGTGGCCTCAAAGTGCACCTGGCCAGGCACAGGCGCCGTGATGACATCACCGCCACTTAGTGGCAAATGGCAGGTATTAGTGTTATGCTTAAATAGAGCCATGTAGGACATTTATTGAAATTAAGAGTTATTTTGAGATTGTCTTATTACAACACTCATCCAGTATATATTTCACAGGATATACGTGTGTGCATATATATGACAAGAAAGTTTTAAGTTTAGATTTTTATAATACCTTCACATATGCTTGGGTCTTTCGGTAAAGTCACGTAGATAGGTTGAAAGATGATAACAAAAAACTACATCGTTTTGATCGCAACACAAGCGGTTCCTGTTGGCGACCGCTTGTGTTGCGATCGAAACGTCGTAGTTTTTGTTATTATATTTGAACCTATCTACGTGACTTTACCGAAAGACCCAAGAATGTGAATTCCTGCAGTCACGAAAGCTTTAAGTCAATAACCTTGACGATTTATCATATTGGAAATACAGTTTACAATTTAAAGAATAACATTAAATCAATCAATATTGTATATGTTTATAAAGTAATGTCGTGTTTTTGTTGAGAACAGATTCCTTTGCAGGACATAGGCCTCATTCATTTGTTGATAGAAAGGGAGTTCACAACAACATTTGCAATAATTTCCAAGTCGACACTTTTTCCATATTTACAACGGGAAATCCTATATTCGAGTATAACTTACGGTCAATGTATGAATGTGGTATTATGCTTTATAAATAAACCATAGTGAATTAAAACTATGACTATGCACACACATCACATTAAACACTCTTACACGATACTTGTCACAACAGCATTGCTCGGCGAATCCTCGGTAACCCAACTCTAGACCTGGGGCCTTTGACACTTTTGATCCATTTTTTTCTATCTGATTGAAGTTACACAGTGTGTGTGAACATAACGCAACGTCCAATTGTGCATCTTTATTTCACAACAGATAAATCGTGGATTCATACCCCTGAGATGCTCACGAAGAGTTGCGTGTCATACAGTGTCAAGGTACAGGAAACTAAATTATTCATGATTCCATTCCAAGTTGTAATCGTCTGAATGTCAATACTAAGATTTAATGGACAGATAGGCAATATGGCTTGCAACTACATATTTGTAACTTTATTGCCTTAACTACATAATATAAAAAAAATGTGTGTAAGCGCCCTGCATGTCGTATTGTTATTGCTGCTGTCTTCTAATTACACGCAGTAGGATTGGAATTTGAGAGTTAATGTTGTCTATTTCAACAGCACTTAAGTTATAAATTATATTTTAGTAGATATATAAACATACAGCTCTATTTAATTTTTTACTAAAAGGACATACTGTGTACAACAATGTGCAGTGTTTTAGTTATTCTTCGCTTTATATAAAGAAAATTTGTATTTCCCGAATGGAAAACAAAGAGGCTGTGATAAGAGTCCAATTCTATTCCAAGAGTTTGGAAATCTTTTATTAATGTTTATCATTACTCAGAGCTGAGAATGGTCCAAATGAAAAAATATATCTGTACAGGCCTCTTCATTTATAATCTCCATCTGAATCCCTCTGCAACATGTGCTGCTAAGTACAGAAAAACGTGAAAAGAATTCACTCCGGTGCTATACTTTGTAAATATCATGTGTACTGTAAACACAATGCTATTAAGTTAAATATGAAAATTTTGCGTGAAGCGCTCCCTAGTGGTAATATGCATGCACAATCACATTTGTTTAACGATGTACTTTATCTTAAACTTGGAATCAGTAAATTTCTTCTGGTGATTTAACACCCATATCTGCAAACACAATGATTTTTTAAACCTCTATATTTGATGTGACAATGTGATTGTGTGTGTGGGCAAAGTCCCATCCGTGACCTCCTGCCAGCGGGCGTTTGACACTTCACGTGGCCTCAAGGTGCACATGGCCTGGCACAAGCGTCATGGTGACGTCACCGCCACTTAGTGGCGAATGGCGTTTGTTGTTGTTGTTATGTTATGTGTGTGCGTGCATTTTTAGTACCTAGGTAGTTGTGAGGTATCCCAGCCCAAAGGTTCTGAAGTTGTCAAAGATGCCGTGAGAAAACTCAAGGTAAGTTTTCGTCTATAATTGAAATAGATATTGAAGTATACTGCTATTGACCCTTTGCATGTTGAAATCGCAATATTTCATGATAATAATTACTTTTTTAACGCGCCAGATTTCACAGACAAGTCAGCAACTCAGGTGTGGAGCCAAGCTCAGGGCTGCTCAAAAGCCTGACCCAGACAGACAGAGGCGTTTAGATGTTTCTTAAAAGTCAGAGTGCATTTGATATTGTGGATGTGCAAAGGGATAGAGTTCCACACCGAGGGGGCGATAGCAGAGAATCGATGTGAGGCTGTGACAGTTCGAGACCTTGGTGTCTGAGAGAGATTTTGAGATAACGCTGCGTAGAGTTCTACCACGAGCTCCAGTGCAAGGCGAGAGGAGTGAGGCGAGGTATGGTGGCTACGAACACCAAACCTAGGACCAATAGACCTTCACACTGCCCCAAATATAAATTTTAAGGCAGTGTGTATCCATGGCTAATTCACTTAAAACTAAATTTCTAATAGTTGCTTTTCATTGGCCATATTAAATCATTAATTGCCATATTAACCCTTTGACGTATTTGTACATCCGATACTATTCCGATGAAGAAAAACCGAAATAAAATTACTTCATCAGTACCGAGGCTCCCTCAAGGCCAGGCTCGAAGGCGCGTGCCACAGTTTGGCGCCAGCTACCATCGAGTGCGGTGGTGTCGCTACAATTCTCTGCAGTGAATACAATGTCTTTAAAAACAATGGCGCTATGCCTCTAAATAAAATGTGCGCGAACTGCTTGTGCATTCCGAGATTCAGCGGTGAACAGGACCTCACCCTGCAACTTGCAGACATCTCCAAATGGGAAAGGGTTAAAACAAACAAACTAAAAACTGGTGACGTTTTCATCTTTTACATTAGTCACCATGATGGCTCACTCACTTGATCGCTGCCCTGACAAACGAGGTAAAGTGGTGAAAGCTTTACTCTGGAGCTTGCTACTGCAGTCATTTGGTAGCGCATGTATCACACTTTGCCTGATGTGTTGGGCTCTGCCTCAGCTATGGGATAGAAGATGCTGTCCCATGAAACACCTATTATGTGACCGCTGGGGTTTGCCCCTCCTTTCACCCTGTGAAGTCTCCACCACGATGTGTATATAGATAAGGAGATTGCAAGAGCTGTATTGAAAAGCACATTTAATGAAACACATTTTCAAATGCGTTTAAAATACCTTGGCAAGCATCAACATGAATTATTATAATTACTCTTACTCTTTGGTTCTTTCGGTAAAGTCACGTAGGTAGAAAAATAATAAAATAAAACAAAACATTTCGATCGCAACACAAGCGGTCGTCTTCAGGGACATTTGACTATCTCCAGATGATTTGCTTGTCAGCTTCGATGTAGTCTCTCTGTTCACCAAGGTACCTGTACCTGATACCAAAGCAATCATTGAAGACTTGGTCCAACAGGAACTGAATCCTGATGTACCAACTTTGGTGAGGCACTGCCTTACCAACACATACTTCATCTGGAATGGTACATTCTACAAACAAAATGAAGGTACCCCTATGGGTTCCCCTTTTATCACCAGTGGTAGCGAATGTTTTCATGGAGAAATTTGAAACAGATGCCATCCTGACATCCACCCTACGTCCTTCCCTGTGGAAGAGATACGTAGATGACACTTTTGTCATCTGGCCACATGGCCAGCCAGCACTGAACCAGTTTTTCAACCACATCAATTCCATACACCCATCCATCAAATTCACCATGGAAGTGGAAAATGATGGCAAGCTACCATTCCTAATGTTTTGATCGAGAAGAGACCTGATGACTCATTGGGATATTCCGTCTACAGGAAAGCCACCCACACGGATTCCTATCTAAAGCCTGACTCCACCACCATCCGGCCGAGAAGAATTCCCTCATCAAAACACTACACGATAGGGCCCGCTGCATCTCTGACCAGCACCACCTAGCCAGTGAACTGGAGCACGTACACCAAGCCCTCAAGATGAATGGATACTCAGACCGCACAATCCGCAAAGCTGTATCCCCAACTATGGGGAGAGAACCATCTGAGGACCCAATCAAAACCATCACCTTGCCATACATAGCAGGTGTTACCAAATATATTTCCAAATTCTTAAACAAACACAAGATCCAGGTCCGATTCAATACAGTGCACAAAATCCGTGATTTGATCCCATCTGTGAAGGATGTCATTCCTGACATGCAATACCCTGGTGTCTACAAACTAAGTTGTGTCTACGGCAGCAATTACATTGGGGAAATGAAACGAAATGTCTCGGACCGTGTTCGCGAATACAAGGCAGATTTGAAACACGGCAGAACCAATATCTCTGCAGTGGCTGATCATTGTTATAACGGAGCGGGCTCGCACGATATTGTTTTTTCCGAGACCAAGGTACTCTGCAAACCTTCGGGCTACCATCAATTATTTATCCATGAAGCCATCCAGATATATCAACACAGAGACAATTTCAACCGAGAAGATCGGTATAAGCAGAGCAATCATTGGAGGGACGTTATTAACCAAGCAAAGTCGTAACTTGCTGTGGTGCTTCCATTCTTCCCTGCCGTCTGGCTGTTATCTCCGACTCTGAGTTGCATTGCCCTGTTAGGTGCCTCTGCATTAACGGGCTGGGGTCTCACTAACATGGCCACCTCTGCTCCCTTAGCCTCGATGTATCGATGGTTCCGGCTGTGTGATGGGCTGTATGTCTCACTGGCGCGACCACCGTTGTGGTGGTTCTCTTGCGTGGACGCGCTTGCCTTACAGCGCAGTTGGCAGTGCCGCAGCTTGTGTTACACACAGACATGACATTAACTTGCGAATCCCCCTAATCTCCCTGCCTAACCTCTCCCATCAACATAGTGCTAACCTCCCATTAACACTGCTGTTGTACGCATATGTGGGGGCGATACTCTTATGCGGCGATGGAAGCTCATTTCATGCTAATTTCCCTCCCTAATCTCTCTCTTCCTAATCTCCCCCATTAACAAAACTGACGTACTTGCGTCCGGGGATGGAATTCCTTTCCAGCTCAGACCCCGCTTGCTTGCCCATCGCCACATGAATAACCTCTTGTTGTAACAGCTCTCTCGCTGGTTCAGCAGTTTCACTGCTGGATTGTTTTTTCCACCTGAGGACGACCGCTTGTGTTGCGATCGAAACGTCGTGATATATTATTTGTGTTTTGTTTAATTTAATTATTTTTATACCTACGTGACTTTACCGAAATAACCAAAGAGTATGGATTCCTGCAGCCACGAAAGCTTCAAATCAAGATTGATAATTACGCTTGTTTACCCAGGAAAGCCTCACCATGAGTCCTCAATACTTTTCAGGAGGGGCCAGCCAAGTGTTTTTTTTTGCAGTCGGGGACGATGCTCTTATGTTTAATCCAAAAATGATGATTTTTCACAGATACTTTTGCAACATTATGATATTCGGCCAATACCAGTTAAATTGCACGTTTGTTTTAGCTGTCTATGTGAGGAAACTGGAGAACTTGGAGGAAAGCCATGAGGAAATGGGGAGAACATACAAACGCCACACAGAAAAACATCCAATTCGTGAATCAATCCCAGGCCCTTTTTGCTGTCAGGCGTTAACTGTTACCACTGCGCCACCCTGCCACCCAAATAGATTTTGTTCATTAAGTCATGCCGTATTAGGCATAAGGCACAGAACAGCATTTCCAGACATGCTTTGATACGTAATTGTGAAGTGTGGCATTGTGTTGTATGTTATTGGTGCATTTCATCGCAATCACCTTGTTGCAGAAGATTGGGGACAGAGGGAGCAGTATTCTTTTCTCTGGTGGTTGACAACACAACGACATGTGTTGTTTGATTATAAATGCATATTTTATAACTAACTTTAGATTTCATTGAGACAGATTGCTCTTGAAGCCTACTAGATCACAGGTCGATCACCAATGGGAAGAAGAATACCAGGGGAGCTGTAGCTTTGATTGGAGTCCTCACAAGCCCAACAGCCTGGACTCGATGCAGCCTCACAGCCCAGTGCAGTCTTTATGAAACAAGCAAATTCAACGCATTCCATGAATGATATACTCCAACGTGCATTGATTATCTACAGCCCTATTGCCAATCCACTGCTGGATGTGTGCCTCCCCATGCCGCGCAGGTCATCGAGGTTTCTTGACCATGCTTTCAACAAGCCGGTCATTGTGAGTTGGTGAAAGTGGGGAGCATAGATATGAGAGAATATGAGTGCAGTACAACAACAAAAAATGTCCGCTGCCCACCACATTAGCCTGTCAAGCCCTGTCACAACTTGCGTGTGCAGTGGTCACCCATCCAAGCGTTATCCAGGCCTCAATCACTGCTTAGCTTTCTGAGATTTGGCGAAATTGGCATCTTTTCGGGTGACGTGGTCATGGGTTACGTTTACACTACATCAAACAAAATTGTATTTACTGTGGTTATGTTAACATGTGTGTATGTGTGTATGTATGTATAATGATTGAATCTGTAAGAGTGTACGTGAACTTGTTTTCGCAACTCTTTTGTCACACAGTTTGCGTGCCACCTGAAAAAATCCGAAGGTCAAAAACTTCCAAAAGTTGAACTTCAGGTTTCTATACGAGGTGTGGAAATCTTGGATCCCAAATCAAAGGTAACGGTTACAAAGATGATGACAAACAAAGAAAACACATTGGCAACATATTGAGTAAAAGTAACTTGTGTATTATACCATATATGGCATCTTGCTTTAATGGTTATTAATTTCAATATTACCTTACTACGATATAACTTTAATGCAAGCTGTTATCTTTTTACAACTGAAAAAGGTGGAACACAAACATGATAATTCTCGCAGAAAAAATATATGCAATGCATCTGTGAAGTTTCCAATGATAAAGAAATGACGGGGGGGGATTATATTTTAATTGGGCTATTGTTATCATCTCACTAGTCACATTTCACATCGGTACTCTGCAGTGAGCAGTGCATCCACTGTGTTACAGCATGGTCATTGAAGATGACATCACACAACTATTTTACGAGGCCCCTTTATTCTACAGTACACACAGTGCTGTCCCACATCCGACCATATACTGTAGCTGCATATGAGTGAGTTCAAACTGCATATAATGCATTTTGGGTATAAATAGGTTACCTGTGTTAATGCAAAATCGCACAAACCGAACCCGAAGAAAAGATCGGGAAACCTGTATAGTAAAATATCTTCGTACAGAAATGTCACATTAAATTACGTCCATCTGTGGTACTGAGTCATTGGTGTAAATTCCATACACCTATGGTGGGGACCAGTATACTGGATGACCGACGTCACCTTTGACATCGTGGCACCCATTTGATTGACTCCAGCAGGAATGTGGGCTCAGTGATCTCCTGATACACCTGACCTTTTGTTTGTAAATTGGTCACTTTTCCAGAACATGACATGGTCAGAAAAGATGCAAGTTCAGACACAAATAAAATTATGCCTAAAAACTATTAATAAAACACCAAATGCGAGTACGTAGAGCAAACTAGCAAAATCCAAAAATACTTCGATATATTTTAAGAAAGGTCCCCTTAAAATAAATTTTATTTGCATCACAAACGGTTATACGTGCATAATGTGCGCAGAAAGCAAAAAACGGTATGTCAATACCCCACACGCCACTTCATAACGACAAGATGCAGAATTTTTTCAGTGGAACAATGACAACGAAAAGGAATCCCATGAGCAACACATGCACCGTGCGTGTCAAACCATGCCCCTTGTGGCGCATGTGGTCCAACAAGCAGGTTTCATGTAGGACTAAAAGTTTACCCTTTACAGTTCCATGTCGGAGCTGCAGGTGGCGCTACTACTCTATTCCTAACAATGCCTTAAGCTAGATTTGAAGTTTTCGTGACTGCAAGGATTCATACTCTTTGGTTTTTTCGGTAAAGTCACGTAGGTAAAACATTTAAATAAATTAAATGACGACACAAGCGTCCTTCTTCAGGTGGGGACAACTTAGCGAAAGCACACCCGCTTAAGAAGGACGCTTGTGTTGTGCCCAAAACGTCGTGATTTAATTTATTTTAATTTTTTACCTCCGTGACTTTACCGAAAAAACCCAAGAGAATGCCTTAAACATTGTCAGAATACTTACTCCCTGCCAACTTGCAGAGTAGGCTGAAATTGATTTCAGGTCCCTTTATAGCACCCATGTTATCCACAGCCTAATGATACAGTGTTGCATTGCGAAATCAGGAATAGGTTAGAGCCTTTAAACCTTAGAGCTTACAGCTTTTAACACCTGTGCCACTTTGCCCAGCCAGAATGCTCCGGCTATAAATGATGCGGTTTTGCTCCTGCAGTGGGTGAATGTTACGGTGCAATTAAATGCTTTGTGAAAGGGGGACCCTCATAGAGTGCATGTGACCTGTGTTTTGATCCTCTTTGAAGCTGGTGCTGTGCAACCTTCTTGAAGAAGGCCAATCAGCTGTGTGGCTGGGATCTTCCTTTCTTTTCAGTGACTACAAAACCCTGTTGTTATTTTTATTTCAGCAGTTGTTTTGTGTCTCCTATTTTCACAGGAAAGTCAACATAACTGTCCACTCCACCGAATATCTTTCTGTGCTGATGACAAGACGGATAAGCGCATCCTTGCTTTCATTTGCAAAGATGCTGAAACTGACCAGCATTTTTGCTTTGCATTTGACAGCGAGAAATCGGTGGGTTTATGATTTATTGAATGACATGAAAGCCTCCACTGCTTTATGCGCAGAACTGATGCTTGTCTGCCATGGAATGTGAATGCCATCATTGTAAGGAACACACTTTAACCGAACTATTGGTTATGTTGTATACAAGATACAAGTCATAATAATACACTTTATCAAATGTTGCAATTACAGTATCTGTTTTTATAATTTTAGGCTGAAGAAATTACGTTGAGCATTGGACAGGCTTTTGATTTGGCCTACAGAAAGTTTCTTGAATCTGGTGGCAAAGACGTGGAATCAAAGAAACAAGTGATTGCTTTGCAGAAAAGGGTAAGATGGAGTTATTTTAAAGCACAGTATTCTATTATTTTTATACATGATTAAAAAATATGTGTATATATATCATCGTTTTACGACATCTGTTAAGACGCATACCAGGTGTGGCATAGTCAAGAACGACGTCCCAGGAGATACACATTAAAGCCACGTTATTTAACTTGCACATGAATACAAAATGCATTGTTCGACAAGATTATCGGAATTCTAAAATGCTACTCGGATGTTAATGTCATTACATGCACCGTTACGCATTCTAGGTTACTGAACTTGAAACAGAGAATGGTGAACTCCAGAAGAAAATTGAAAAACTCGAGGAAAGGCTCAAAAGCACACACGTGGTTGTTCACACAGAGGAGGTGAGACTGTTGGGATTCCACTGTATTTGGTCGATGCATCTAGCAATCATACTCAGTTTCCTAAATTATCAGATTTATTAGGAATAAAAAACAAGTATGATCATTGAAACATTCCATTAATTACATGTTAAATCATGAAATGAAGCTACCAGTGACAATACTGAAGGGATCACTTAAATAGACTGACAAACACCTGTATTTTTTTTTTACATTTCCTCACTCTTTCAGCCAGATTACAAATATAAAAACCCTATCTCTTATACTGCCTATGAGAAAACGAATTCCAATATACTTTTACATCTACCTTTAAATTCCATCCCTCTGAATTTCTGTATAATGTTTAAGTTTGAGAGATAAATAACGTACCTGTATTTACATTGGGTTGTGGTACATTGAGCGGGAGGATGGCACAGTAGTAGCCCTTTTTGTCTCACAGCAAAAAGGCCTTGAGTTCGATTTCAAATTCAGGTGCCCTCTGTGTAGCATTTGTAAGTTCTCACCCCATTCCTACTGGCTTTCTCCCAGGTTCTCCAGTTTCCTTCCATGGGCAAAATTAATATATGTAGAATGTAACTGGTATTGGCCAAACATTACCATGCAAAAAAAAACATTTCAAATTATGCACTTGGAATTGCACGTAGCAGCATCGCCCCTGACAGCAAAAACTTGCGAGGACCCTCCTGAAAAATAGGCTTTCCTGAGTAAACAAGCGTAATAACACATTTAGTTGTCTGTCAATTGGCGTTTATTGCACAGTGTTTGCTTTCCTGCCCCTCTTCCTAAATAGATGTTTCCATTGTAAGTGTGTGTCGGATACACGTACACGGGTAAACGATAAAATGGGTGCAAGCGCAACAGAAATGGCACAAGTCAAATAAATGTTGCTGTTGTGTGGAATCTCATCGCTACCCAATGCCAGTCCGTGTTTATGCGTAAACTGAATGGCACCAGTTCTCTGTATGTAAAAAGTAACCATGTCACCTGTCTAATCTTAAGATGCACATGAAAGAGAATTTGCTTAATGTCACAAGTATTTTTATTGCCATATTAACTACGTTGTGCTATAATATTGTAATGGAGCTAATTTAAATGTGTTAGTCTTATACCCAAATCACGTCTCGTTTGTGATACAAACACGTAATACTCTTTATGTGAAAAAAATGAACATGACATTTTTATTTGGATTTTAAATACAGTATTTTAATCGTAACAACGTCAAACGCAAATTGGCTTTGTTCCATATTTGCAATGTACGTCCAACTATATTCTAACACAGGAGGGCAGCAAAAACCTGTTGATGTTAAATGCTAGTGTAGTGCATAGTGAGCAGCTTAAGTTGAGGATGTACCGCATGTACAAGATGCAATGCTACTATGGTTTATATAAATTATTACAGTAATTATGTTGAGACCATACATTTTCACTTTTAATGAAAGACTATAAAATAATAACGTGGAGAATATATCCTATCAGTAAAACATTATCTTGTTTCAGAAATTATTTTACTAGATGTATTTATCTTGAACAACAATGTATGTTAAATAGCTTTAAATCCATCATTTGAGCTTTTGTTTTCTTTTAAGTGGGATCCAGGGTTTTTAAGATGGCCTTCATTTAACAAATAGGCATACCTTTTTGCAAATATTAAAACCACATAGTTGCTTGCTTATGAGTGCAAACAGCATGAAATTGGTCATATCTGTTGTGTTGAACAGTGGCCAGTGGAAAATACTGACAATGAAGTCTTCTTGGCTCTAATATCATTGTTATTTACAGTCTGTGAATATATTTCCCCTTTTGTAGTGTGTTCACTGAAGCGGGGAATCTATAATTGAAAGTTCTAGAGATGCCAGGTGTGCAGTGTTCAGCGTATGGGCCTGTTCCTGTTCCACCAGCATGATTCTCCCTCTTCAGGATGTCTCGTCGTTTTTTGTTGTTGTTGCTTCTCATCTTGCTGCAGCACTCACAGGGCCTTGTGCTCTCTGTGGTTGCCTGGATCAGTCAGCCTTGCCAGATGTGAGATCCTTACCCAACTACTCTTTGGCCCTCCTGCCTGTGAGCTCCTGCTGCTGCTGCTGCTGCCTGGAAATCTATGATCTGCTCTACACCACACCACACAACAGCCCCCACTATGAATGCTGTTGTAAAATCACTGCAACCCTCAACCCTTGTAAGGCCTCTGTTTTGAGGCAAGGATCCATGTTCATCGAACATTATACGACCACAGCGTACAATGCACATGTATACAAATAACATTTACCATGAGGGATACAGAGGCATTTGGACATTGTAAAGTGTAATGAAGGTATTCATGGAGAGCTTTCCTCTTCTAAGATACAGAATTTAATCGTTCAAAAGCTAGCACTTCCAAGCCAGCATAGAATGTCAGGGATGTAATTATATATCTGCACTTCCATATTCAAAGCTTTTGCCTTTCTTTACTTTCTCCTATTAATTTTCTGGATCCATTTGATGAGTACTATGTATTATGTGACAAACTTGCACAATTACTGAGAGGTTTCTTTTATTCGCTCTGTGCATTTTGTTTTCATAACTTGGTAAGTTTGCACTCAGGTGTCGTATCCAATAGATGAATTTGGTCAATTGCAAAGTGTTTTTAATGGCAGTATAAAGCAAATACACTTCCTACATTTTCCAGAAGGCATTTGATGATACAGATGAGAACTCCGTTATTTCCATGTACAGCGGTACACAGCGGTAGATTATCATTTAATCGCCTTTTGAGATATTATTTTGTTAAACTCCGTAGCGTGCATTCGATCAAACCACTTGGGGTTGGGTACTTTGTTCGCGAGCTGAATGTCGAGATCGTCTTGTCTTTTTGTGGCTGCTTATTTACGCAGGCACTCAATGGGGTGTTCGACGGAGTGGCATCGGCTGACCTCTTCGACATGGTGCCCTTTTCCCCAGCATCCCCTGCCACCTCCCCGACTGCTCCGCCACCAATTCCTAGTCGAGCTGCCGAGAGAGGTGCCACCAGCATGTTGGGAAAAGCCTTGTGTGTGCGCGCACCTCAACCGAAACCCTTGTGTGTGTGTGTGTGTGCGCATCTGCGTATGTATATACACAGATGCGGTTGTGTAGCGGTTTGCACGTTGTGCTACGAACCCGGCGACCCAAGTTCGATTCCCGCTCACGGCCACCACCAGTGAAAAAGATCTGAACTGGTCCTGGGCCTCCCCTAGGCCGACTCGGCCTCAAATGAGTACCTGGTGCGATGTGTAAACATCGCCACTAGGGAGTCGAAGGCCAGTCGGGCGTGGTGCTGGTCACCTACCCCCTCGTGTGCCGTGCCGGCCTTCATAGGTGCTCGCTTAACAGCATTTGCCCCAACTGTCTGTTACAGGCTGCATAGGGGATCTTTATGTATGTATGTATGTTGAATTTATCTTGCACCGTATTTAGCCAACCATGCTAATCGGAGATGCGTGTGTGTGTCTTTGTGTTAAAGACACAGTGTGTGGGGACCAGTGGGCACAGTGGTTTGTGCACTGCACTATGAACCCTGTAAAACCTACGTTGGATTCCGAGCCATGGCTAACATCAGTGGCGAGTTATATCAGCATTTATCCTGGGCCTTCCCATGGCTAGACTCGGCCTTAAATAAATACCTAGTGCGCTGTGCACTGGGAAAACAAAAACGACCAGGCATAGTGCTAGCAATACCACACCCTCATGTCCCATGCCAGCCTTCCTAACTTCTCGCTCACAGCACTTGACCAAACAGTCTGCTAAAGTCTATATTGGGGGATATTTGTCTTTGTGTACTTGTTTACTTGGCCTCCTCTATAAATGTGTTTGTGGGTCTGTGTGCTCTTTCACTAGAGTGGGGAGCGGTAGTGTAGTGGTTAGCGCGCTGCACTATGAACCTGGCGACCCGGGTTCGATTCCCACTCACGGCTAACACCAGTGACGATTATCTGAACCGGTCCTGGGCCTCCCCTAGGTCGACTCAGCCTGAAATGAGTACCTGGTGCAGTGTGTAAATATCGCCACTGGGGAGACAAAGGCGGTCGGGCGTGGTGTTGGCCACCCACTCCCTCGTGTACCGTTCCGGCCTTAATAGGTGCTCGCTAACAGCACTTGCCCCTACAGTCTGTTAAGGCTATACGAGGGATCTTAGTCTTCGTCTTTCACTAGAACCCGTGTGTGTGTGTCTGCATGTTTGTATGTGTCTGTGTGTGTGTACCTTGTGTATGTGTTTCTGTGGATGTACTCCTCAACTGGAACCTCTTATGGTGTATGTGCTGTGTGTCTCTGTGTGTGGTCCTCCACTGGGATTTCTTTAAAATATTCTGGGGGTGGAGAGAAAAGGAAACGAGTTTTAATGTCAGATGAATCTAAGGTTGAGCATGTTCTTTGTGCCAATAATATATCAAAATCACGACATTGGCGATGGTAGTTTGTATATAAAAGAACAGCACACAAGCCTGAGTGCTTTGTATTGTATGTGATTTACTAAATGGATGAATTTTTCTTCATAATTTGTTTATAAAGTGCTATTTTTAAGGATTTATTATTAGTAGTAGTATTTTCCTCTACTACAAGTTAACCCTTTGACCTGAGAGTAATTGTGTATTATTTTGGAATGCAGCTAAGGACATATTTGGAGCAGAACCTTTTGACCCCATTACTAACCGAGGAGCTGGGCCACCCATTGCAAGTGCCAGCCTGGCAGATTTTCCAGGTAAGAATTTCAATGCCATCAAATAAAACGACGTTTTATTCTTAGGTTATTTATGCAATGACATCCATTGGGGCATTTTATTAGGAAATGCATTTATTTGCATTTAATTGCAATGGGTCTGGAATTACACATATATAAACTGTTCATAAAGATCATATGCAACTTAATAATGGGCAATTTAGAGGCCAGTTAACTAATGACCACATATATTATAAGATTCGAGAAAATAAAGATAAAAATCAAGTACCATCATGCTGAAAAAGCATGGCATTCAGTAGAAACTGATGCAGTCATCCAAGCTCTTACAAAACCAAGACCTTAATAAAAATTGTCAGAACTGATTTTGAGGATGGAAGAGCTTCACTGACATTGTATGAAGAAATGCATTATCATCAACCATGACCTACAAACTTTTGGATGAACAACTCCCCAAGCCGTTGCCATCTCCCATGGGGTCGCGATGCAAAATGAGCTGATTTCATCCCTCCACTCTGCGGTATGTCCTCTTCGGCATGCTTCCTCCTATGGCTGCCTCTCCATTGTTAGTCTCAACCACCAGCTATCATCCTTTCCAATGACGTGTCCTTTACCATGCCCACAAAATTATTTACAGCCAATATCATTTCCCCGAACTTGTGTATGTTCTCTAATCTGTGTTCTTCCTGTCGCTTCGTGCAATTCCTAGCATGCACCTCTCGGTCCTTCTTTGTCCAATTATCAACCTCTGTTCCATGTTCTTTGTCAATGTCCACGTTTCCGATCCATGTGTCATAGCGGGTATTATGCACTGATTGCAAACATTTTTTGTTTATGCACATCGGTATGTTGCTTTTCATGATTAAGTTCGGTTTTTCTAAAAACACTCATACCTAGTCTTGCCTGCCTCTATAATTTTGATCCCGAAACGCATTCACTAACTGCCCTTGGTGTAAGTACTCTCATGTCTATTCCAGTTTCGTTCTTCTGACATGTCTCCGTTTGTTCAAAGAACTTGATGTGCATGACCTTTGTCTTCCTCATGTGTTACCTTGGAGCCACACTTTTCAAGCCTTATTTATTACGTTTTTCCATCATTTCCCAGAGTGCATTTCCATTGGTTGCTACAATGATTATTTCGCCAGCAAATCCGAGATGGTTAATGGAGCGTTAAAAAAGAGCATTGCAGACATCAACGCGAACATGCACAACCCGTGCATATGGTGAATAGCAACGACAACAATACTTGTGCAAAGTCACATGGACGGTCAAACTTGGAATAATTTGCACAAACTAACATTGTCAGGAAAAAACACATCTACGTTGGGATGAAACATTATTTTGAAAAGGTTCAAAATATTTAGCACAATTGTAGGACTATATGTGTTTGTACAGTATGTTGCTTAAGAACATAAAAGATTTCACCTTTTTTTATAACGTATTGACAAAATATACTTAAGCAATGTCGAAAAGTAATGCAGCTTATGGCTATCTACTCTGAAGCAGGGTTCATGTCACACATATGGAGCACGGTGTTTGGCTGTCTTGGCTTGATGTCCTCTGGAATATGCGTCGTCAATCGCACTGTTCTCCAGACCCGTGGGTGCTGCCTCCATCTCCCCAAGCCCCCATGTCGTCTCTCACCAGAACCCCACCCCTATGCAGACGTGCACACATACCTATGTACAGTGCATGGAAACTTACATGTACCTGAACAGTGAACACCAATGATATCACATTCCCGAAACCGACATGAATAATGATGCACCACAGTCCACTTGGCAGCCTCTGTCGTGCAGAGTACATTTTTATTATTTCCATTTTAGTATTTGTATCTATGAGAACAGTTATTTTCCACTACGCGCACTGCTAAACTGCATGTTCCACAGACACCGAACTTTGACGTGCACCTCGAGATAAAACACGTCCATGTTTTTTTTGTTTCAGTGGCCTTAATTATGGAATGTGTTGAACCAAAAGTTGGGTAGGGACGATGGGTCCGATCCATGCTGAAACGTTGACCCTCATTGACATACAGTGCTGGTCACCAATTTGAAATACGTATGTGCTGTGCTCTGTTAACATTCGTAACGATTCCACCTTGCAGATGGGGCTCGGGATATTTTTTCCCTTTCCAAAGCAGTTGGCTCAAAACAAAGCCCCGATTGTTTTACGCTGAGGAGTGTAGTTTTTTTTGCTCGGCCTTCCAACCGCATGTGTACGGACACCCTGTATACTTCCAATTGTACATTGTGTGGAAGGTTGGATTATCATGCAGTAACAATGTCATATATCACAATAAATCCTAACATTTAATATCTGCTCTCGTCTCTTTGATGTGCTGTCAGCTAAAGAATGTAACCTTTGCTGTTGTGTTATTCAATGCAACCACGCGTTGCTCTGTGTGGGCATTAATATATATGATGCCTTAGCTCTCCTTAAGTCAGAGGTGGGGGAAACAAAGACATTCGTGGGAATAGTTTATTAATCATTTAATGTCTGTATGACCATATTTTTGGAGGTATAGGCCATTCAATCAGTAGACTTCCCAAGAAGTTATTTTTCCATACCTGCAGGGATTTATTTAGTTTTTAACAGGTATTTAAGAAGCCTACATTTTGCCATAAAGCCATTGTGTGTATTCCGTTTTCCCCCCCTCCTTTCGTTCTTAGTTGAGATTGTTGTAAAAAAAAAACGTCGAACAACATCTGAAAATGTTATATATATAAACAAAAACGAGGTTAGCAATATATGAATTGTGTAATTCTCTAGGCCACTCGTGTTATTGTTATTGAAATGTATTCCCATTATAATTATCATCATCATGTATTACTTGTTCGTACGATTGCATTATTTCGTGTAAATGTACTTTGAAAGTAATTCCTCAATGGATGGGGTGGTTTTCCAATACAATAAGCATTGGAATTTTGTGGAGAAATGTGGACAACGTTGTAATGTAATGAGGTTAACTTTACTTCACTGAAGGAAGATGTACTCGATAGAGTGCCTGCATTTTGTGCATTCTCACATGTTTCTCCTCACCCTCACACATGTGGCTTTGATGTTCAAAAGCAGAACTAATCCGGTCTTAACTTTGATCTCGTAGCCATGAAGGCAATGTTGCATGATCTTTAAGTCACCTGCTGCTTGTGCGTACAATACGCTTGTGTGAGAGTGTGATGCTCAGTTGGACGAATCACATTAAGAACTGCTCATATTTACAATCTTCACGGTGGGGCTGTGATGATGTGACCTCGGTAACCCGAGTTGAGTTCCTGACCGTGGCTAACACCAGTGGAAAAATGACATCTTAACTGTGTATGGGCTCCTTCACTGAACCTGCACTGCCGAATTTCATAAAGTATAAGTCAAACGGCACTCGTGACCAACAAAGTGTGGAGACGCCTTAATCCAGCATTGGCATGATAATGAGCTGTTCTGTAATTATAAAGTACTATAGCAATCCTAATTGTGCTGCGGTTGTTTGGTGCCATTTAATCTGTTCAGAGACGAGCAAGCCTTGTTGTAAAGTTCACCATATTGTTCCATGCCTCTTGTATTACTTTTATTCTACATAGAGTATTGTGACTTGCATTCTATCTCATTAAAATAATACCGAAACAGGAGGATTTCTCGACAAATCTGACTGGCCGCCTGATGAGACTGGTTGTAATTACCGGCGAAACGTCGTACTCGAATTGTCAATGTTCTGGGTTCACTCTCCAACACACCGGTTTGCTGTACCAGTAACGACACGGCATGTTTTGTTTACGTGGCAAACCTCACCAATTGGCTGTGTCGGGTGGTGGCAGATTTAACGGCACATTTATATTTACGCGATTTAACCCCAAAACCTTGCGGATAAAAAAAAAATCTGTTAATCCATTCCTCATATTCTTGTTAATTCCATGGTTGTTTATTTGTAATACACACGAGGACTATTGTTGCAACAAAAAAAGTTATTGCTCCTCAGTGGACTTTTTCCCTGGTAAATAAATAATCTAACGGCAGCTGTGTTCTAACATATACGTGTCTTGGGTTGTTTTGACAAGCGAACTATGTCTTTTCCCGTCCCATAGGCGCGCCTCCAGGATCATAGGACCTTGACCATGGAGGACATCGCTGTCTTTTTGATCCTTCCATAGGACTGGTGCCTGTGCTTGATCATCACTGGATATTGAACGCATCCTCTTCTACGGAGATTCCTATTGACATTCACGATCAACCACCTCGGACATAACATGTAGCAGCATCATGACAGCCATGATATATTATTGGTAGCATAGGTACCACCACCACACAACAATGTGCACACAACGGTTATACGTTTGGCCACGCCAATGAACACACCGTCGTTATGACAGCCACCAAATTGCCTCGCGGTCGCACAAGGGTTAAAGTGTTCCTTAAGTAACGGAGAATATACAGGCAAAATAATCACGATTTTCCCATTTTCAGCAAGTATTTTATTTCATTAGCAACATTTATTTCGACAATCATAAACACACTGTATATAAAAAAAATCACTGCTTAAAATTTTAGCCTTCAAATGGATATATTTTTATACCTTTCCATGTATTACATTTCAATAGTCATTTTAGTCGCATGTAAACCAATGCCATTTATTAATATAAAATATTGCACAAACTGTAACATCTACTGATATAAAGCATAACTGAATATTAATATACATGTAATTGTTTTTAGAGTAAAAAGGTTGACTCAAATTTGTATATCACCTTGAGAGTATTGCACGGTGAAATTGAGTGATAATTTAAGATAACACAAAAACAATACATTAATGGCTTCCTTTTATTTTATTACGCTTCCAAGGGTATATCATAGATACGTGTTTTAGAAATTAACAGTGCCATTATAATATAGGATATGGAAACAACGTAAGTCCACTTTTTACGTCAACCTGATAATATTTGAGAAAAGCATTTTCGCACGAGCATTAAATGCCTACCATGTATGATGGCCTTCCAGGGTGAAACTAATCGCCACCTAAAGCAATGGAAAGTATTTCTGGCTGCAAGGAACACAGAAATCATTGTACCACTACTGAGTAGCTCTGTGATTGTAGTGCATTCTGTAAGTTGGCATGATATAATGTGGGCAGTGCTGTGATGACAAGTGTGCATTAAAGAAAAGGCTTTTTTTTAGACTAAAACATACCTTTTTAGCCTGGGGAATTTGATGATCACTGCCACTAACATAAACGTGAGAGTGGAATAAGCACTCGGACCATGAACCTATTGGAGATGATGTCTTATGATTTGAGCATCAAGTTTGCATGCATTTGACCAAAACAGAAAAAGCTTTACTGTGGTGCTTTACCACCTTAGAAATGTTTGTATACTCATCAGGATGTAATTTCCTATATTTTATACACATTTTAAGCATTTGTGATATGTTCATTAACATGATATTTTATATACACCAAATGCTTTTGCTCACATGTTTACCAAAAACTTACAATTTTGTGAAAGTACGCAGCATGTTGATGAGTGTTTATCTTGTGTGCTCGCACTTAGTGGAGGGCTGCCTCAAAGATGTGCTGAGTTCCATTACCTTTAAATGTATAGCTGTCATATTTTACGAAAGACTCGACATTATTACCAAAGTATACAGTTAAACAAATTACATTTGACAATCGTAACTTTTTTTAAAATATATATATAAAACGTTACACGTTGAGAAAATCAGAAAAGAGGGGTTAGAGCATGCTGGGCCATATGTTTTTCTATATGTTTACCTACAGAATGTGTTTCTGGAAATGTGTTTTGGTGTACCCCAATCAGCTGCAGTGGCACAACGTGGTTGATTAGTTTCCGGGCCACGACTTTCACAAAGACGCAGCATGGCGAGTCCCCTTGTAGGTGCATTATGTGCCTGGGTGGACTATTGCTCCCAATAGTGGTTTGACCTCTGAACCCAGTCTTAGCATAATTTTCTTATTGCGCTGTTAAAATGTATTTCTCACGTAATAAAAAAAATGATTACACGAGTTTTTTTGTATTGTGTGTTTACCAAATATGTTTCCTGTGATTACTAAGCATACGTGCTATACGATTACCAAATATCTATCACAAAATGAATAGTTAAAGCATTTTTTAATCAGATATATACGAGAAAATACCGAAAAAATATGTTGTGTTTTTTAAGCTGTCTCGGCTCGTTAACCTACCTCTCAGCATGAGCATTTGTATATCCTTTAAGTGACAGCAATCACGAAGTTTACATTCACCGGTGTTGAAGATGAGGGTAATTTAATGTTCTTAGGTTTTTTCGGTAATGTCACATAGGTAAGCTATCGTGCTGTGACGGTTCCACCTGAAGACGGAGGCTTGTGTTGCCTCCGAAACGTGATTTTTATTTTATTTTACTTTTATAAATTTAAATTTTTTACCTACGTGACTTTACCGAAAAAACCTAAGAAAATGAATCCTTGCAGTCACGAAAGCTTTAAATCTAGAGGTAATTTAATGCATTTCACATGTAACATTTTGTTAGTTTTTCTCCCAAATAGAGGAAAATGTCCGTGCAATTGAATTGTTCAGGAATATCTGTTTGACTGGACGCAATAAACTCGAAAGCCTGTCACTTTAAATGTAGTACAAAATGACAGCTGAAAGTGGAATTTCTGAAGGTGGCCAGTTGGCTCCAGGGCCGAGCACTCTGTCAGATCGACACTGCGGAGATCCTGGGTAAGAATGTGAGCCCATCAACCTTGGTTTAAATCTCAAGTGAAGCGAGTTGTTACTCGTTTTATTCTGATTAAGCACTCCTAAACCAAGTTATGTTCGGCTTATGATTGAGCTCATTCAGGCTTGGGAGAATCTCAACATGTATGGCTTCAGTGGCGTGATTATTAAATTCTTTGCAGGATAAATTGAATGTGTGCCCCCTGTGTGGATAAAGATGCCCCTTGATGTAACTTCAGAAATAGTTCTGAAACTACCTCTTCTGGGGTCATTTTTTTGACACGGGGTCCACACTGCTAGCCGTTAGCTTTCCAAAATGGAAATGTATTTTCTGGTAACGTGATGCTGATGTATGAGTCGGAATATAATTGAAGAAGCATGTTGTAGCTTTTGAGAAATAGATTCAAAATGTATTCAGCGTGTTTTGTTCAGAAGACAAACTAGTGAAACACGTGATGCGCCCAAATTCACACGCAACATGTGCGTACTGTAACATATTACACGAAGAGTCAATATCCTTGTAAAACTAAGAAATATTGTTCCTTATCGCGTGAGCCACGGGCTGCCGAGAGCAGCCTGAGCCAACCTGAGACATCTCGTGTTCAAGATTGAGTGGAAATGCCAAAGATCTGATGAGCCACACTTAAGGCAGTCCGTAAAAAAATATGGGTATCAAGAAACATCCAAAACTGGCCTATGAGCCACATCATTTCGGTGACTGTGGCAACTTAAGATCTCCGAATTTTAAAAAATTGCTCATCATTTGCTTGCGAGAATGTGCGGTTGAACGTGTATTTTCAATGCAACGGAATTTTTTCTTTTATATTTTACTATACACACATGAGGAGAGAAAGTGTGGGGTTTTATTGCTTTCATCATTTGCAAAACATTTGGTTGTTGCCATTGGCAGAGAGTGGTGATGTAGGTATTTCTGGCATGACAAAACCACCAGCCTCCGTTCGAGACACCTCTAACGTGTTCCAGATGTGTATTGTGTTTCTGTCGCACCCGTTACTTCAAGGACCCTACACAATGCCCACTGTTTTACAGCGTACCGAGTTCTTACCGATGACTCGCTTTAAACCCAATAGATTTTTGTACGCAAGATAACTTTGTAGGTTGGAAGCATCTTTTTCTTACGGCATTCTATAGTTAGCATTAATCTTGTAAAGGATTTGTATAAGTTATACCATCATCAGCATACACTTAAAGTAGAAAATAAACGATCTCAATGTTTAAGTACAAAATAAAGTAAGTCATGGCAAAAATGAAGACATTTCTGTGTTGAGCAACGTTTGAGTAGGATTTTTTTAATGTTTAAGCTCATCTTAAAATGTAGCACTTCTTGGCTGTATGCGGTCTAAGTTAATTTTCCTGTGTGGGTGCCTGTCTATGTAAAACGAGACTGCACACATTTTGTTATTATTTAAACATTTCTTTACTCAATGTAACACAACTTCATGCACAAATAATATCTACAATAACCAAGGCGTCGTCGCATTTTTATTAATTTAGTTTAACTTAATAATATTATTACAATAATAACCAATGTCAATTGACTTTTGGATTAATTTAGTTTAAAAGTACTCGGTGCATCTTCACTTAATGGACTGGCCAAATAGTCTTTTTAATATATTGCTGCCCTTCCAAATACTTGTTTACCACACAAAAAAACGCCCATAGCCACACACACATCGTCCTATGCCACTACCTTTATGTCACGTAGAGTTTCTTTTGACAAAACAACGGCCACCGATCCAATTTTTCTGAGCTCAGAGTTGTGGACATGGCGTGGTCGGTTTGAAAATGCACGGGCAGGTAGAGACAGTCGTTCGGTCAGTCGAAGAAATTTGGGCCCGTTTTTTTTAAATATTGGATGACGTGGAACTACAATATACTGCGTACTGTAATGCTGTGCTTTGGAAGCAGGGTTGACGGATCTTGGAGAGATTATTGTGCGTGAGGCAAAGACAAATTGTGAGATAAGAGGTGCTAAGAATAGGCAAATTGTGAGATAAGAGGTGCTAAGAATAGGCAGAGCGGCAATTCGACTGCTGGACTTATCTCTGTGGGTTTTCTGTGTTATTCTCTTATCGGTGTGGATTTTCTCCAGATTCCGACAATAAAAAAAATACCTAAACAGTTACGGACTAAACATCCCAAGTGGGATTTACATTTGGCTTAATCAATGATCTGTTGTTAATATGTGAGTTGATGAACCCATTCGTGTGTACTATTGAGTGTTGGCCACTCACTCGTGTAGTTGTTCTCCAACTCAAACTTAACAACACAAAACTGCATAAAAACAACATGAAAGATATAAATAAATATCATTAAAGGTGCAAAAAAAACCGTAAGTAATACAAAGAATTAAACAAAACTATCCAGTAGTATAACGTGTAAAGCATAAATTAGATTTCAGAAATAAAACTTTTAGATGAGATATGAGGTTTGGATTAACACATTCAAAATAATGGGAACAATTTTAATTGAATATTGATTTGGAGGACATGCTTTTTAAATGCAACAGAGATCAAATATTGTTCCATTTATAAGGAGTATCATAGTAGAAAGAACAATTTACAACATTCTTTGGGTCTTTCGGTAAAGCCACGTAGATAGAAACAATAATAACATTGTTATTATGTTTGTATATTTTTTATATCTACGCGGCTTTACCGAAAGACCCAAAAATATTAATTCCTGCAGTCACGAAAGCTTTAAGTCAACAATTTACAAATGTAGTATATATTCTTGAAACATCACGTTTAAATATTGAGGCTTGTCTTTATTTTCAGGCATTTAAATGTGCAATGAATAAACCAGATAAACTGATTTCACCCATAAGATATGTCACCATTTTAAATAATGCATTTACTAGTACACTAAAATATGTTTACGGACAAATTTGGAGAAATACTTACATTTAATGGAGAAAACATTACCCATCAAAGATTAGCTGTTACCATAGTTATAACAGCCAGTAGGGATTAACGAGAGGCAATTAATGAATAACTTTATAAGGAAGGCTGCAAAGTGATGCCCAAGATAAGTATGAGCAAGACAAAAGTCAAGTATAACAAGTTTGCTCAACAATTGTAGATATTTGTTGGAAAGACACAGCTGGAAGACACAATAGAATGTGTGCCGAACACAGTTTTTCAAAGTGGGCCAGGATCAAAATGATGGAATACATCGACAGATAAGTGCCGGTTAGAGTGATTTTGGAAAACTGAATCTAATGAAAAGCAAAATGCCGATGTGCTTAAAAAAAAGTTACGTTTTTAATCATGGTTCAGAAACATGGACAATGACAAAGAAGACTGAATAAAAGCTGAAGAGTGTGCAAAGAAACATTGAGAAGTACATGCTCGTAATTATACTGAGATACAGAAAGAAAAGCATCTAGATTACAGAATACTTTACGTGTACATGCAAATTCGAGGCATCATATTGAATTTTAAGAGTATGTATTGGGCTTGGACGAGACGTGTCACGAGGAGGGATGATGGCCGATGGTCGAGACTAATGACGGTGTGGAAGCCAAAGGAGGGAACACACCCTTATTAAAGCTTGTCGACTGTGACAATGGAGCGATGAGGTCAATTTGTGTGCAGCTACGAGATGGGTTGTTACATTGTAGGATTGTGAGAGATTGCGACGGCTTGGCGAGCCGTTGAAAGAGCAGTTGATTCTTTACGGATGGTGATAATGGTGATGATGAGTCTTATGAAAACTTTAACTTTCTTTTGTAAATTCTTTAAAAACATCAGCAGACCGGTGCATACATCTCCATATTGCCAGCAGGAGTGATTCTCATTTTAAAATAAAGTCCAATACTGAATGTAAATCCAAGTGGTCGTTATTGTGAGCCTATTCAGTATCTCAAATCCAGTTTCAAAGATTCACTACTTGCAATACACGACTATAGCAAATATTAGGGGTACCTTAAATTTCATATTACACCGATTTTTATGGAAAGAGATAGACTGTATTGAGTGGGTGTTGTTAAAAAATAAAATAAAAAGTTGCTTTAAATTGCCAAAAAATAGACCAATGTCAAGACAAATATAATTTTGTGAACGTGGTACATAAACTTGAAGGAAATATTTACATTCTAAAATCTACCTCTACAGTATGTAGAACATCCCAAATATAGCATATTGCCAAACGGTGTGTCTTGTTCGTTACATGAAATGTGCCGCGTTTGACTAAAAACTGCAGAAACTGCTTGTCTAGCCGGTGTATATGATATGCGATCTTGGAAACTCTGGGTAAGCGTTGGGGAATTTTTCAGTGTCTG